ACTATTCAAAATATTGTCAACTTTTAAAAAAAATATATTGACTATATTCAATATTACAAAAAAAAAAACATGTATTATAGAAGCCTCTGATGTTACCTGAAAAAAAATACAATTAATTATTATAACACATAACACCAAACAAAGGGTGCGTCTAAACACTGCTAAGGTGTCCTTCGTGCACTAAGGACTTACAATATGCCACTAAGGACTAGAAGGGGTGCTGTTTCATGTAAAAATATTTCATGAGTAAATGGACAATAAGGCATGTGCCGGTTTTCCTTTGATATTGCCGAAAATCAGTGAACCGTTAGACACGTGTCAAATTACATAATTGATTACACTTTTATCTTTAAAAAAATGAAAAATTAATTATTTGCATAAGAAAATAACCAGACATTAGATATGTTTACCATAAAAACAGTTAGGGATTTATTATTGTTTTTAAATATTTTTTTTTTAATTAAACATATATAGTTTAAATCTAAAGTATACGTCGGTTTATTTAATGATAAAACATAGAAAATTGTTTAGTGTTTTTTTTTTAAGTAAAGAAAAATGTTTGTCCCGAAAAAAATAGCCCCCCCCCCCTCCCCAATGATTGGTCATCGCCTAAGTGGGGCTAAAATTTGGAGACAGAGGCCCGACTGCCATAAACAACAGACGACGAACAGCAAACAGAGGATACAACATTTGATATGTATGACAGACGACGACGGACACAAAATGATTGCACTGAATAATTTCAACTACCACAAGATACCCTATGAATTTTTTACATACTTGAATTCGTTTAAGGATGTATTTCTGGACAAATAAAACGAATTCAGTATGTTTACTGTACAAACAGACGACAGACACCAGGTGATGGATAAAATTGTTGCTTGTATTGTTTATTTCATTTTTCAGTGCAATATTTGATTGATTGATTGTTGGTTGCTTAACACACAGTGGCAAATATTTCATGCATGTTCAGGACGATAAGTCGTTTAAGAAATAGATTATGAAGTATTAAATATTACAAATGTCATAATTTTCACATCATTTGGTAAAAAAACATTTTCTTAGCTATTTAAATTTGTACGAATCATCATTTTTTTTCTGACAAAACTATATCTTTTGCTCTTAATTAACACATACGATTCTGAAAGTAATAAGAACATTTTAACTTAAGTTTCGGGAATTATTCGTATATTAAGGCCTATGAGCATAGAATATCAAATTTAATTATTGCCGACATTATGGTTTCATGTAATACAAATAAATAAGCAATTATAATATACAATCATGACAAAAGTGAGCTTTCTGCTAATTTTTCGTATATAATGTACTAAAAACAGTTGAACATTTTTTTAAAGGTTTGTCTCCTTTATCTATTTGAAAATTAAACTTCATTTCATTAAAGTTCGATTAATGATTTTTTTAAATTCATTTACTTTTAGATACGAGTGGCATTACCTTAGTTCACAAACATTAGACAATTGTTGAATAAACAAACCAATTATAGACTAATGTCAGTAATTAAATAAAATAAAAATCGCCATGACATTCAAAGTTATCATGGAAAAAACTTCATATTAAAATATGTTGAAGCTTCTATACAAACAGACACAATCACACTCATTTTCGTATCGATGTGAAATAATTCTTTGACTGGTACTCCAATACTTCACTTACCTGTTGTCATCCCAGGGGCGGATCCAGAACCTCGAAGTCTGGGGGGCACCATGAAACCAAAATTAAAGATTTGTTTAGATATGTATATACTGCGAGTGTGGGTGGTGGTGGTGTCATGTATTGGGGATGATGGTGGTCGTTGAACGGGGGGGGGGGGGGGGGTTTCAGGTCTTCATTTCTATATCTTTACATTATTTTTGGATACATTTCTTTCTACTCTTTTATTTGCTGCCATTGTCCTCTATTCTTTATAGTTCATCACACCTTTAATCTGTTTTCTATATTTTTGGGCACATTTTTTTCTAGTCTTTACTTTTTGACCATTATTCTCTAATCTGTAAACCCCATGCATACCCTCATTCACGGTAAACCATTCATACCCTCATTCATGGTAACCTATTCATACCCTCATACATGGTAATTACAACAAGAAAAAAAATGTGTATACACATATAACTGTACTATAATAGAAAAAGAAAGGATATGGGGTATCCATCCACGACACAAAATCAGTATATGCACAGCAAAAAAACACACAATAAGCAAAGGAACAGCGCTTTTATTGCTGTTCTTTATCTCAAATATGAGTATACGTTTTCTAAAAATACAATATCATTTTATTAATGATATATATATAAGGCACAGACCATTCATGTTTTGTGGAGGGGGAAGGTTTTTTTTTTAAAGACAAATCATTGGTTTCCATAAAAAATAAGGGAAAAAAAACGACATTCAGTTTAAAAAATTGCTGTATGCATTGAAAAAAAATCGTTTGTTGTTTAATAAAGTCCGAAAAAGACTGTTCTGAGAAAGACACATTCCCCAGAAACCGTATACAATGTGAGTGTTTGGTAATAAAGACGTATTTCATATCGATACTAACATTCCTGACACCAGAGACATATAATACATTGTATTATATGTCTCTGCTGACACTAAACATCTATTTTTACATACTCTAGTTGGTAATTTCTTTCCTGATCAGAAGATTTCTCATGTTAATCGATCTTGATCCTGTAATATTGTATTAGAAATCAATAAATATATTCGTATTAATTCCAATCAGCATGTAGATGTACATGTAGTTTACATAAATGCTTTTGGATATAGACATTACACAAAGGTGTCAATATTTACACACCCATAGATAAGTTGTCATAAATCACGCATGTTGAAGCTGGGGTTAATAAACGACCACTTTAGGAAGTCAAATCAAGCTGTGTCTTGATTTTAGATCTAGATATCTACATAAACAGATACAGTAGCAATAAAACTATGTTAGAAATTTTTTTGGTGACCCCGACTGGGGGGGGCACGTGCCCCCTGTGCCCCCCGGTAAATCCGCCACTGCGATGATCCATCAACGATACTTTTTACGAATTCCATTTATACTGTTAAAATTTGTCACAAAATCCTCCAAAGTCAATATAGTTTATTCATATTTTATTATGGGGCCGGATCGACGTAGGGACGGATCGACGTGGGCCCGGATCGACTTGGGGCCGGATCGGTTTGGGGACGGAACGACCGGATACCGTGTATACAGAGTATATATCTCCCAGTTGATACGATATTCCAGGGCTTGTATTTCCTATCATCTGATAGAGGGCATTGGAACTCTGTTCTTTTGATCAGTTTGATTTTGCTGTTTGAATACTTCTTTATAAAACTTACAGAAACAGGGGCTACAGGCGGGCACAGCTGGACATAGTGCAATTTCTATATAAAAATTACAGAAACAGGGGACTACAGGCGGACACAGCTAGACACAGTGCAATTTCTTTATAAATTACAGAAACAGGGGGCTACAGGCAGACACAACGTTATTTCTATATAAATTTATAGAATCTGTTGGCTACAGGCGGACACAGCTGGACACAGTGCTATTCATATATAAAACTTTAATAAACAGGGGGCTACAGGCGGACACAAGTGGACACAACATAATTTCTATATAAAACTCATAGAAATTGGTGGCTAGGAAATTTTTACAAACAAGTTTACAGAGAATGGCGGCGGTAAAGTAAAGGGCCATGTGAGCTAAAAAAAAAAGAATAGCCAGTGCCAGTATTAACCAAATATAGACATTTTCCATCTTTCATTATTCCTCTTTGAAATCAACAACTTTTTGGACCATTTAACTCCATAATGAAACTATCTTTTGTTGTTAATTTGTTAACTTCTATAGTATTTGCTTTCTGCTGGAGAGTTGTTTCATTGGCAATTAGACCACATCCTCATTTTTGGCTTTCAAAGTTCTTACTTGTGAGTGAATTGGTAAAATGTATTCCAATGAAAGCAAAACTGGAATACATATTATATTTATTATTGATTTGGTTTCTTATCTTAAATACTATAAATTCAGAAATTATTGGGAGGTTTTTACAAATGCGAATAATGTGACTGGGTGAGTATAATAAGAATTCGCACTATGATATCTAATTCAAATATCTCTATTCAGTTTTTCCTGAAATCGCAATAATTAATCTCACATTTATTCCAATTCTTCAAACATGGCATAAATAAATGCACGCAATAATTTCTGAATAACAGTATGCATGAAGTATTTGTTACCAGATCATGTGGATAGTAAGCAAAACAAAAATCAATCAATTGTAATGATATGACCTTTCAACTGTTTTGATATGAGTTTCTTCTGTTACCTATTCTGACATCGGACTCAGACTTCTTTTAAACTGAATTTTACTGTGGGTATTGCTGTGTGTTTGTTTATTTCACATTGGTTAAAAGTATAGGAGGAGGGTTGGGATCTCACAATACATGTTTAATCCCACAGCATTTTCATGCCTGTCCCAAGTCAGGAACCTATAGCCTTTGTTAGTCTTGAGTGTTTTTTTTTAATTTTGGTTCATTCATATGTTTGCAAGTTTAGTGTGGCGTCCATTTTGCTGAACTAGTACACATTATTGTTTAGGGGCCAGCTGAAGCCTGTGTTGAAGACCCATTGGTGGCTTGGGCTGTTTTCTGCTCTTTGGTTGGGTTGATGTCTCTTTGACACATTCCCCATTCCATTCTCAATTCCAAAAAATGTGCTCATTAAAAAGATCCAATTCACATTGAAATAAATTTTACTGATCCAATTCAGAGACCTATATGCTGAAAACACAACATAATAAACTGAATTACCAATTCAAAATTTCAAATATCAAAAAATGTTCAACATTTTAATTTGATAATTAACTCTTTTGCATAGCTCATGCTTTATGCTCATTCATGAATTAAAGTGTTGCTCAGTAACTCATTCAATATTTTTCTAAATTTGAATTCATAAATTAGTTATTCTATAAATAAATATAAACATCATGTTTGTAAACAAATTTTATTACTGATTTACAAAAATATACGATTTAGTGAATATATAATCATGTAAATACTAATTGCATAAGTAAATTAATAGCTCATGATAAACAATTAAAATGTAAAATCTTTATGTGTCTATAAACTTTTTCAACAAAAAGACTCGTACAAAAATTAATGCAACTGAAAGAAGTATGATAAAAAAAAATTCGGTAAATAATTTCATTCATTAAATATAAACAATCAATGAAAAGTTAGTAAGTGCAAACAAGACATCAGCCAGACACTATAAATTCATCTAAATAAACATTTCAAATTAAATAAATTTTGATTTAAGAAATTCTTTTAATGTGATAATTATGAATATTTTAAAGAATTAAATCCAATTAAAATAACTAATTATTTGTAGAGAAAAACTCTTATTTATAACAAAAATGATTATGCTATCATATAATTTATCAAATAAGATAATTTTGGTTGCAGTAGGTTCCCATGAAATTGGAGTTTTTACGAGGACTTGAAACTAAGTACCATGAAGTAAATGAAAATTTCATACGAGTATAAGTATACTGAAAGCAAATGGAAAAATCTTTACCAAGAAAAGTCAGTTAAAGGCAAAAATAGTAACCTTATAATACTATAACAAGAAGCACTTTAAGCTGATTGGGAAAGTATTTCTTGCTTGAGACAGAAAATGTAATCTATGGGACCTTTTCAACTTTATCTAAATATCACACAAGTATGTCCTTAACAGAAAAAAAAACCTGCTACTTGATAAATGATCAGGAATGTTGTGCATGTTTAATGGATTTCAGGATACTCCTTTAAGAACTTCTGTATTTTACATGATCTAAAAAAGGGCATTTAATGCTTGAATGAAACAATCAAAGCATCATAGGTATTATGAGATTTTTTTGAAGCAAAAGTCACTTTTGTGTTGTCTTAGGCTATATGAGCAAACCATATATGCACTTCAAACATGCATTATCCACTTGGTTTCCACCCATAAATGTAAAATGATGCCTGTAAAGGAGGAGTTTTTGCAATTTTACAAAATGATACCTGCAAGAAACAAATAAATCCAAAAGTATGTTTCTAAGCGCCATTTTTTTTCCCTGTAATTAACTGTGTTTACCCACTTTAAATAAAGAATTTATTATAATTATTGTTTTAATTGGCAAAAAACTTATTTTAACAAAATAATGTCTTGAGTAATACCCAGGAACTTATTATTATTATTATTGGCAAAAACCTTATTCTAACAAAATAATGCCTTGAGTAATACCAAGGAATTTCTAATTTAGTCTTATTTCATAGAAATATAAGGTGTTAAGGGCATACGATACAGTAGCAGGGGCAGATAATAACGTGTTCAAAACTTTTCGTGTTGTTTTCGCGACGTTGTTAATCAGAACGTTGTAATTTCGCGATGTTTCTAATAAGAACGATTACATTTTGCGAAGTTGCTTTAGATGTAGTCGCATTTGTGGAAATCCACTGACGTCATAATCCCGATTGCACGAATTTGAAAAAAAGTACCTGCAATGAAAATCGGCCAAATTACGAGAATTGTTATATTTATTCATTAATAAGGAAGTCAACAATATTAACCTCGAATGGGAAAAAAATCGAATCCACATTCTTAATTTTGCATGTCTGTTATTTCATATAGGAAATGAATAAGAGATATGAAAAACATAAGAAGTCGATGAGAGAGAAACCCAACTACACATAAAAAAAAACATAAGTTATTTATATAGTAACTTCACCATTTGGCTAACTCTAAATCGTAATGAGAATTGCACGGATAAATTTAACAGAGACTATCAACCAAATGACAAAAAAACGTAATAAATAATGACAGCGCATCTTACTGTTCCTGACTTTGAAAAGGTACATCAAAGAGTTTAACAGCATTTTTAGAATTTAACCCGTGGAATATATAAGTGTATGAAGAAGAATTGTCGTTTAAAATGACTCAGTTATAAAGGTTTGGCAAATATGATGCTATTTTACGAGGAGCCAGCTTTATTAATTTTCATGATTAATACCATTGGTTTAAATCAAAGAGCTCATTGCTCTGAGGTGGAAGAAGATGCATAAAAAGTAACTTGAATTACCATAAAAGCAGCCCACACCAACCCAGCCTGCTTTGTCCCATTATTGCTTTCTACGTATTTTTTTCTTCCAAAAATAATAATACTCATAACTCAACCAAAACTCACTATACTTAACATAAAGATCTGCAAATACTGTTGATTCAAATTTAATTTTCTATACCTAAATTCCATACATTCGTCTCAGCATGGTCAACTTGATGCAAGCAATTTCGCCAAGCAATTATAAATTTTTCATGAAAATAAAACTTTGACTGCAACGAATTACTGGTTCCGTACTCGAGCCTCGATAATGTGTCATTTTTGTGTGTACCTTAATGACGAATAACGGCAAAGAGCTGGACTATTCAGTTGTTAAATCCCGTTTTTTACCACTTCTAAAACTTTCAAACGTATTAAGGCAATAAAGGCAATCATTGGGGACATTCCGACTATGACCGACATGAAAACTACGCCGTACTTTCAAAATGGAATCCGTCAACAGACATTAGTTTGTACATTGATATTTCTGTCAACAGACGGTGCATCGTTTGATGTGTAAAACACCAGCAGATTCACGTGTGCGCTTGACTCTTTATTATCGCAATAACATACTTAGATATTCTAACTTTCGTTTTTAAAAAACACATGTTGTCTAAAACTGGAATATGACTTAATTGATTGCATTAAAGATCTGAACGCAGACGGAACAATTAAATCCGTGTATTTTTTCAAGCATCATTGATTTGAAGTCGTACTCTTCACGTATATACTTGGCCTCAACTCAAGATGGATTGTATAAATATATGACAATTCTTTTTATCATTATTTTGAAACTTTCAGATGCACAATTAAATTTCCCATTTGTGCACATGCGCAGATACGTAACCAATGTGGTTTAAATTAACCCGAATAATCCAGTTGTTTTATTCCGATAATTCCAATTATTAATCTACCAAAGACAATTATTACAACAATCAGTGAAAATTATTATCAGGGCCTATTAATGCTTCAAAACAAGCTACCAACTTTTAATTAATTTTTTTTCATGTGTGTTCATGAATTTCGAGAATTTATACCATATAAATATCTAAATAGGTTTATTAAACTTTAATACCCATAATATTATTATTTTTTAAACGTCCTTGATAAAAGCAGTCAATATAATACTTCCACGATAAAAGTAAGGAGAAGTAACTCAGGGTGAACGTACTCTATGGGGACGAACTCAGGGCGAACGGACCAAGGTCGAACATGTAATCAGGGCGAACCGACCCGATACTAAATTCACGCATGCGTACTACAAACTCTACTTTAAAGACATCCGGTTACTAGTAAACAAATAACGTTCATGTAAGATGAGATGAAATCTAATAATTTACATAAATAAAAGGGTTGATATTAATACATTAAAACATGAGAAATTATAACACTAACGATAGTGATCGTTTTTCAAGCCTAACTAATAAATTAAATGATGCAGATGCTTAGATCATGTGTAAACATCGGTGTCAAGATATGGCACGGAAGTTGTTATGAAATTGTAAAGCACAGAAAGGGATACGGCATACGTACTGGTGACGGTTCAATGATTTTACAGCCGGCAGTAAAGGCTTTCAGAAGACTTGAAGTCTTCTTCCACCAAAAAAAAAACACCTTGGCTCTACGACTGAAATTGACAAGGTAGTAGTGAACGGCAGAAAAGATTTCACGACGTTGTTGCTAATAAAACTTATTCAACATAGTTTGGCGCCTTATTGGAAATGTCCCGTTTGCCAATACAAATTAAGGTTTATTGCTTTTATTGAAAAAACAAGCACATGGACCCCCAGTTTTTTCTTTTGCAATCGATCAAATTCTGTTTCAAGAACGCTCCGCCAAAATTTTAAGAAAAAATCAACAATAGAATTTTTTCAGCACTTCTGTATAGATGCAAAAATACTTTCAACTACTTTATTTCACTTGTATTAAAAGAATTAAGGACATAATTATTTATTTAAACCGTTAACTTGTTACAGCATGCTGATGCCATGGATCAAGGAAACATTTTACAAAAAACCTGGTTAAATTATGACTGTTCGTTCAAAAGTATTGGTACCTTCCTTAAAAGTCCTTATTTATGAAATTTCAGGATTTTTCCTTCAAATATGCAAATTTCGAACCAAATTATCTCAAAAAGTAAGTCATGAAGGTATATTTTACTTTGCATATTTCAAAAGTACACATCGAAAATGACCTTCTACTAAAATTTCAAGAAAAAATAAACGAGGGATCTCTACTGTATCATATGCCCTTAAGTTAAGTAGTAATAATTTTGATTATAGATAATTAATTCAAATCCTGACCTTTCAAGACCATCATCGGTAGTCAAGGTCATAAAACACTTCCCTAGGATTAATTTAAATATTCCTTTTTTAATTTCTAATCTTGTCGTTCCTTAATCTGGTGAGGTACACCTCAATCATACTAGCAACCCTCTATAACAATAAAACTATTTGTTTAAATTTTAATGGTGTCATAAAAAAATTTAAAACTGTTTTCTCTGCTTAAACTAAATGACTTGGTACAGGAAAAAAACAACATGTAAAAAGTTGAGGTGCTAGGGACAATAGGCACAATAAAGGTTATTTAAAATAAATTACAAATTGACAAAACTAGTATCCTTTGCATAGAGTAATTTGAGCATGCATGTGAGTAACACATGATATTAAGTATCTGCCCTTAAACTTGAATAAGTGAATAAAAATTGATAATTATGTAAAACAAATTTATCATCTTGTGCTGATGGAGTTGTAAATTGATAACACTATTATTGAATGTAACAAGATCAGAATTATGATATATCTCTTTGTAAATATATATATATATAAACACAAACAATTTGCAGATAAGTTATATATAAAAAATATATATGTTAGCACATAGACATCTAAATAAACATGATAAACCATTTATACAATTAACAATAACAATAAACAATGTTGTTTGTAATAAACAGCTGATCATTAAAAAAGGAAAGTCAAATGTAATATATAAGTTCTAGGGTAAATATATATAATCTATATGAATATAAATGTAAATTTTGATTAGGTTGACGGAATGTTTCAGATATTGATATAATTGGTAAATCGATTCATTACAAAAATAATGAGATGTGGTATGATAACCAACTTGACATTTATCCATTGGGGATGTGAGCAACTCGGACGCGGATCTGGGATTTTGAAAAGAGGAAAAGGGGGCCCAAAACTAAACAAAATATGTAGCTGAACCGGTAAAAAAAAGTTTGGATTAACCATAAAAAAAGGTCTGCCTTTAAGGTCATTGTAGTCTTTTGGGTTTCTTTTGGTGGACAGACGCAAAATTTTGAAAGTAAAAAACTCATTGGCTGATGCTATAATTGGAACAGAGGGTAGAACTAAGTGTTGTCAGATCTTTTAAGGATGTCCGCTACTCTGCTTCCAATTAACAAGCTTTTTAAGTAACTATTGAAAAGCAGAAAAAATGAAGGGTCAGTGAGCTTGTATTTGAGATATAAGCCATTGAAAATTTGGCGGGAAATTATTCTCTCTAGATTTTTCATATTTTAACATTTCCACTTTTTTCTTTCAAAAGCAACGAATAAAAAAACAAAGGATTTTATAAGAATTTCAAATATAACTATTTGTAATAAAATTATGAAAAGAAAAGTAGGAAATAGTGGCCAAAATTTCTAATAGAACTGCATTGATAAAATCGAAGGATTCCGAATATCTGCCTAAATTCAAAAACAAGTGGAGCGAACATCCTTAAAGCAAGACACAAGATCTGTTTTTCAATCATAACAGTAGATAAGAACTTTTGAAAATTTTGCCTACATTTAAATTGTTATAAAGTTAAAGGGGCACTAGCTACGAGATACATAAAAAATATAAAATATGATTTTTTTTGTTCAAACATTAATGAAAATGAAATAGTGGAATAATAATTCGCTTTTAGAAGCCAGTATGGTCCAATTTTGTCAAAATAAGGTAAGAAACATTGATGATCAATTATTCACTTGCAAGTGAATAATTCAACCTCATTGAATCTGTATTCGTGTGAACTTTAATTTAACGCCTTAGCTAGAGATGGATAACGCATGAATTGTGTGTGTGTTTGATTATTCAAAGGAAAAAAATGTCATCATTGAAAGTGAAACAAAGGTAAATCATTTGATTGACTGATTCCATCTTCAAAAAAATCATTCTTATACTGGTAAAAATGACGATTAACATATCTAGACTAAAATACACACAAAACGAAGCTACATATTATCCATGCCCTGTAAACTGTTTATTTTAGACTTTTTATAATTTGGATAAATGTTTTACATTGTTATAAAACAAATATGAGAATTTCAGTCAAATTGGTGAACATGAATTTGACAGCTAGTGCCCCTTTAAAATTACAACTTATAATTTGAGGTTAAACAAGTTAAACATACATGTAAAAAAATTAAAAAATTATTATTTAAAGCAAATCAAAACAGTATTTTTTTGTTATCATAGTAACAGATTTCTGAACAAAATACAACCTATGTCACTTCTACAATTGCATAGACATAACAATATCACAATTCTTTTGGATTACTGTGGAGATCACATGTTATAACTCTGTCTTTGGTTGTGCCATATCAACATTCTGGTAAAGATCTTGATCAGGTTCTACAACAGAAAGTTAATAAAAATATTGAAGTTTCAATCTTCATTTTATCATCAAGCATAACATTCATAAAGAGCGGCGAAAAATACCAAGGGATAATCAAACTCATAAGTCTATAACAAACTGACAATGCCATTGCAAAACATGAAAAAAAAAAACAGAACAAAAAAACGCCAAAAAAACAAAAGTACCCAAAACTCAACATAGTAAACTTAAGACTATAGCTATTATGTGAAAAAAAGGGATGATCTCAGATAGTACTCAAGAACAATATTGAAAAATTATATACTGTTAATTCGTAATTTTTTGTAATTATTTCAAAAATCTTGATTATTTGTCCATTGGTATTAGTAAAGTTAATATTAATTTAGAATTTATCAAGCTCTCTAAACAAGATTGAGTTTTCTGTTATTTTCAAAACAAATCAAAAGTCTGATTAAAACATATCATGTTTCTTCAACTATGCTGACTTGTTCCTTTAATGATAAAACCTACCAAAAGCATCGTTGCTGTAAATATTATCCTGATTATTTGGATTGCCAACATTGCCGTAAAGACCTTCACCGTCAAGACCTTCTCCATCCTCTAATTCCTTCTGTCTTTTCTTCTCTAGGATATCTTTGATACAATCATGGATAAAGATGTACTGTTGCTGTAAGTTAAAAATCAACAAAATATAAGTTAACAATTCTATATGACTGATTAATTATTATGCTATTGCTAGTGGAACTGGCAAAAGGAACCCTGCCCTGAAAATTACATGATCTCCCCTTTCAAATATTAAATGGAGATATATCATTATCTTGTCAGTCCTTTATGGAGAGTTACATTTACAAGACATATAAGGATAAACAAGAGTGCACATGCTGAAATGTCTCGCCTTCTTTACTAACCATTGATTTTATGTTGATAGTCCTAAATACAAAGCTTTACTACAAGTAACACATAAACTTAACATGATCCAAGAAAATGAGGTCAAGGTCAGATAAACCAAACGAGAAACACATGTACACCTTACAATCATTCAATAAACCAAACATAGTTGACCTATTGCTTATTGTTTCTAAGAAACAGTCTTAAACAAGTAAACTTAACATTGACCAATGAACCATGCAAAATGAGGTCAAGGTCAGATGAACCATGCCAGACAGACATGTACACCTTACAATCAATTTAGGCATTAAATATAGTTGACCTATTGCTTATAGTATCTAAGAAACAAACTTAACCATGAAAACTTAACATTGACCAATGAACCATGAAAATGAGGTCAAGGTCAGATGATACCTGCCAGACAGACATATACACCTTACAATCCTTCCATACATCAAATTTAGTTGATCTATTGCTTATAGTTGAAGAAAAACAGCCCAAAACAGAAAAACTTAACACTGAGAAATGAACCGTGAAAATGAGGTCAAGGTCAAATAAAACCTGTGAGACTGACATGTACATCATAAAATATTTCCATACACCATTTATAGTTGACCTATTGCATATAGTATTAGAAAAAAAGACCAAAACTCAAAAACTTAACTTTGACCACTGAACCATGAAAATGAGGTCAAGGTCAGATGACACCTACCAGTTGGACATCTACACCTTACAATCATTCCATATACCAAATATAGTATACCTACTGCTTATAGTATCTGATATATGGACTTGACCACGAAAACTTAACCTTGTTCACTGATCCATGAAATATGGTCGAGGTCAAATGAAAATTGTCTGACGGGCATGAGGACCTTGCAAGGTACGCACACACTAAATATAGTTATCCTATTACTCATAATAAGAAAGAAATTAACATTTCAAAAAATGTTGACTTTTTTTTCAAGTAGTCAATGAACCATGAAAATGAGGTCAAGGACTATGGACATATGACAGACGGAAACTTAGTAACATAAGGCATCTATATACAAAGTATGAAGCATCCAGGTCTTCTAGCTTCTAAAATATAAAGCTTTTAAGAAGTTAGCTAACGCCGCCGCCGGATCACTATCCCTATGTCGAGCTTTCTGCGACAAAAGTCGCAGGCTCGACAAAAACTATACCAAGAATTCAAATATTCAAAAATATTCAAAAAGAAGGATTGAACAACACATTTAGGAGATAACTGTATTGTATTTTAAGCTCTGACAGCATCAGTTGGTGATTTGATAGTCACAAATTAAGTTTACTGTCGACACATTAGCGGAGTCAGTAAACGGGTATTTGCGACCATCAAATAACCAATTGATGTTGTTGGGGCTTAGAATATAATTTTGTTATCTCCATTCTAATGAAACTGACAGAAAACAAAGTTAAAACATGCATTTAAAATCTGTCATACGTCATCTGCGCTTCTGCATACTTTATCATAGCATCAATTGTCAATTGATGCCATTAAAAAATTAATGACATTATCCAATCAAATTGAACGTTATAATCGATGTTGCATTTGGAATAATTCATGGAATATTTGTATCACATGAATTAGTTATCAGTATTATTCAGTCACAAGTTGATTATTTTTCAATATTTTAATCATTGGACTACTGTGAAAGAACTTTAATTCGTGGGTATCAATTTTCGTGGTTTGAGCATTATTTTCATGTTCGTGGGTTTTTAAATTTGTGGGTTTTGGTTTTCCAAAAAAAAAAAAAAAAAGACAAATTAAAGCCATTAGAAACAAAGGTTACAAATTGTCTGGATTGAAGGAAATTGCAAAGAAAACATTGACTTTTGTAAATTGTATCAATCACACTAATTAACCTGAGAAAGAGTGATCAACAGATTAAAGACCATCAAAGGTGTTAATTAGGCCATAAACATGCCACCTAAAGAAAACAGTTACATAAACAAATGCTATAAACGTATCTTGAATTGTAAAACAATTCGTATCAAAAGCAAGCCCAGCATGAAATTATTAGTTTCCATATGTACGAGAATTATAAGGATATAAAATGAACACTTTACCATAGCATATCAATACAGGAAATCTGACTTTCAACGATCAAAAATATTTTGTTATGAGAAAAGGATCAAAGGTTGTACAGTTTAGGTTTTTAAAGATTAAATGGGTATAATCCTGCCTGCAGTTGTAGTTCATAGTGCGTTTGCCCTGTGACTACTGTTATAGTATTCTCAGATTTGGCGATATTCAATGTATTATCTAGATCATATCAGAATTCAAACCTACATTGGGATCTTTCAATGTCTTGATTTGGACAACAGTTATTTTATTTCATTGGAAAACCACGAAAGTTGGTTCCCCATGAATAACAGTATTTTTTCATTACTTTGAACAAAGATCTTTATTGGAAATAAATAAGAAAATGACAGGAACTATATCTTTTCCTACATATACACATCTCAATTCTTTGATGCTACATGTACTTCAATTCATTGACAATGTTTTGACAACACTTATTGTTGTATGATGTCAGAGGAATGAAAGAATGGCAGGAGTCCTTTTGCGCCAATTTCTGTTTTTCAGGAATATCATTTGCGCCATTTTTTTTTCTTCAAATGTATCAATTGCGCCAATATTCGAAACTCATTTGCGCCAATTTACCTTTACACATATTTATCGTACATTTTGGTTAATGATTCATATGTATTTATTCTTATTTATGGCTTATAAAGTATCATATGTTCGGAGCTATTTAACCCTGAAGATGGACATCTCGAGAGAAATGACTTAAAATGCATTAGACAGTCTGTGTACAGAGAGAGAAAAAAACTGATTGCTTTGCTGAAGATTTAATACAAGATATGGCAAAAGGCAAAAATATAGGAGCGGTTTTCTGATTATGTTTTAGCCACATATGTTGTTGACAGTGATTTGTTCCCATAATCCGTATGGGCTGAAACCCCATCTATCGAAAGATGTACAAATAATAAAGCAGTCGGATTCATCAAGAATTACAATTAACTGTTTTATGCTTCTCATCCTTCAATGTTTGTGTTTTTGGACAATATAGTAAAGATACAAGCTACTACATACTTTCGATTGCGGAGTACTCTTGCAGCAGCAGTAAGAAGTAGACATGATTCAGAAAAGAAATCATGTGCGGTGTAAACTGCAGGTCCCAAGCCCGGAGAAATAGGAAGGGAAGTCATTTTTCTATCAATTGGCGCAATCGTATGTTTTATTTTTGATGCAAATGATACTATGTAATTTCAAAATAGGTGGCGCAAACGTAACATTTAAGAAAAAAAGTTGTGGCGCAAAACGACACATTTTTGGCACAAACGGATTTCTCCCGAAAGAATCAGATATGTGAAATAATCGTTTTTTATTTCACTGGGAAATTATGTTAATTCATTGCAAATACTAAACCCATTAATAATTAGTTCATCAACAACATTAATTACCTCAGTTTGTACCATGTACATTCGACATTTTCTCATCTTAACCACAAAATCAAAAATGTCAATGGTAGAATTAAAATCATGATCTTTAATAAACTGCATCATGTGGTCCAGGGCAATGAATGTTCCTGTCCTACCAACACCAGCACTGTAAATATAGAAGATGATTTAGATAAGTAACATTACCTTATACTGTTAAAGTATACAATCTGTGTCTCTTAGATTTATTGACTGATTGCTTTTTGGGGTTAAATGCAACTTTCAGCACTATTAGCTCTTTTGTGGTACACGGTTTTGATTGGTGTAGCAAGCCAGAGTGCGCCGAGGGAACCATGACCTGCTGCAGTAAAACTGACAATCCTAGTAAATTAAGTTCAGAGTGGAAGACACCTGCATTGTGCAGGGTTGGAATTCACAACCTCAGTGTTGACAAGCTAGTGATACAGAAGATGAACTACTTAGACTATTCAGCCAATGAGGATACCATGTCTTGTAAGAAGGTCAGACAATTATCTGAAAGAATATTTCTGTTCCATTGCAGGATCAACGTTGTCATGTGGTGACCCCCTATAGAACTGTAGGGGGCTAGTAAATTTCATAGAGGATTCATGAGGTCATGTCTGATGTTAATGGTGACGTCATAATATTGTTGTGTTTCATTGTTTTTTTCTACAAAACACAGCAGAAAAATCCCCGTGTGCGATAAATTCAATATTCGGTTCACTACTGAATAAAATCCATAAAAGATTTGGCCTTCAGCCCCCTATGGATTTTACTAACCCTCTATGGTTCCCAAGGGGGTGAGTAGCAAACCATACAACTTATCAATAGATAGGATCCTAGCTCTTATGGTATTTGTGAATAGCGATGGATCCACAGCTATTTTCAACAGTGATATGTTTAAAAGGGAAGTTTGAAGCAGCGTATGTGAAAATGAAATTGTACAGTGATGTTAACCTAAATGGAATGGGAATGGGTGGCACTTTGTTGGAAAGATCACAACTTTGGTGCAACTAGTCTTAAAATGTATAATCAATAGGACATTTCTTTTTAAAAGTCCTTAAAGCAAAACTATAAAAGAGGGACGAAAGATACCAGAGGGACAGTCAAACTCATAGATCGAAAACAAACTGACAACGCCATGGCCAAACATAAAAAGACAAACAGACAAATAATAGTACAGATGACACAACATAGAAAACTAAAGACTAAGCAACACGAACCCCACCAAAAACTGGGGGTGATCTCAGGTGCTCCGGAAGGGTAAGCAGATCCTGCTCCACATGTGGCACCCGTCGTGTTGCTTATGTTATTACAAATCCGGTAAATAGTCTAATTAGGTAAGTCACATTCGTGAAAAGGGAAGGGTATTGTAGTTACAACATAAGGAACATATCCGATATCATCTGTGAAACGTATAAGTTATGACAAGATGTGACTTCTGGATTCATTAATCTCGTGATATATCTCCAAAGTAAAAAAAAGTCTAAATTCATGATACAAAAAAATAGGAAAAAAATTGTTTGAATATATCACACCAAACTATTGCATGACATGCTTGTAAATATTGAATTTTCAACAATACAATTCCTATGGTTTTGGTGTTGTTGAAATGCCCAATAGATAATAATTGAACTCAAAATATCCACATACCTGCAGTGTACAATCATTGGAACTCTACTCTCTGGAATGGTCACATGACTTCGTACATTGGAGATGAAGTCAACCATGACATCATTCTGTACATTTGCTGAGAAATCTTTCCAGTTCAGGAAATGGAAATGTTTTAATGTCCTGGATTTGTCACCCTAAAAGAAATTTTGCACCAGTTATTATGTTGAACAGTTTTAAATTTTGACATACGATTTCTAGCTGTGAACTTTAAGTGAAATGATATGCAAATTGAACAAGTTTTAACTCATTGGCTTTTAAAAAAAGTATTAAACTTATGTACTGGTACTGAGTGCCAATAGAAAGCATCTCATCATATTCTATATAGCCTAATTTGGTCCCTAAATCCATTCCTCAAACACTTTAATATTTGTTAATCAAATTTGTGATCTACCATCAACTTTTTCAGTTCAAAAACTTGAGACCTACTAAGAGCAAAATCAAAACACAAAAAAATTAGTTAATTCTGTGTTTTTTAAAATTTTTGATATCCCTTGATAGCAGCTATGAGGGTTTATATTATGGCAATAATTGGCCATCTAAAGAGTTATATTTGATCATTCTTTTAAAGCAACATTGGTAAATGTAAACGTTATAATCTCATCATATCTAATGGCCTGAAAGTTGATAAAAAGTTTGTCTAGGCTTATCAAGAGAGGACATCAAAAAAGGTTTGAACTTTTTTATTAAATAAAAAATACATGTATGTGTGGAGATTGTCTAACTATTGGCAATAAGTTTATATTCTGCAAGACTTACCAGAGTCAGTTTAAATATTCTGAATTCATATGTATTGATTGTCGAACAAGATTGCATGTCCACAACAATATCTCCATACTGTTTGGCTTCTGATTGTTCTGTTGGCCAGTAGGTTTCACATTTTATCTGAAATTAATAATAATGAAAACTAGAGGCTCTAAAGAGCCTGTGTCGCTCACCTTGGTCAGTATGTGCATATTAAACAAAGGACACAGATGGATTCATGACAAAATTGTGTTTTGATGATGGTGATGTGTTTGTAGATCTTACTTTACTGAACATTCTTGCTGCTTACAATTATCTCTATCTATAATGATCTTGGCCCAGTAGTTACAGTGGAAAATATTTTGTAAAAATGTACAAAAATTTATGAAAATTATAAAAAATTGACTATAAAGGGCAATAACTCCTTAAGGGGTCAATTGACAATTTTGGTCATGTTGACTTATTTGTAGATCTTACTTTGCTGTACATTATTGCTGTTTACAGTTTATCTCTATCTATAATAATATTCAAGATAATAACCAAAAGCTGCAAAATTTTCCTAAAATTACCAAATCAGGGGCATCTACCCAACAACGTGTTGCCTGATTGGTCTGAAAATTTCAGGGCAGATAGATCTTGACCTAATGAACAATTTTATTCTTGTCAGATTTGCTCTAAATGCTTTGGTTTCAGAGATATGAGCCAAAAACTGCATTTTACCCTATGAACTATTTTTTAGCCATGTCGGCCATCTTGGTTCGCGGGCGGGTCATCGGACACAATTTTTTAACTAGATACCCTAATGATGATTGTGGACAAGTTTGGTTAAATTTGTCTTAGTAGTTTCAGAGGAGAAGATTTTTGTAAAAGATTACAAAAATTTACGAAAAATGGTTAAAAATTAACTATAAAGGGCAATAACTCCTTAAGGGGTCAACTGACCATTTTGGTCATGTTGACTTATTTGTAGATCTTACTTTGCTGAACATTATTGCTGTTTACAGTTTATCTCTTTCTATAATAATATTCAAGACAATAACCAAAAACGGCAAAATTTCCTTAAAATTACCAATTCAGGGGCAGCAACACAACAACGGGTTTTCAGGGCAGATAGATCTTGACCTGATAAACAATTTTACCCCATGTCAGATTTGCTCTAAATGCTTTGGTTTCAGAGATATAAGCCAAAATCTACATTTTACCCCTATGTTCTATTTTTAGCCATGGCGGCCATCTTGGTTAGTTGGCTGGGTCACCGGGCACATTTTTTAAACTAGATACCCTATTGATGATTGTGGACAAGTTTGGTCAAATTTGGCCCAGTAGTTTCAGAGGAGAAGATTTTTGTAAAAGTTTATGGACGACAGACGACGGAAGCCAAGTGATGAGAAAAGCTCACTTGGCCCTTTGGGCCAGGTGAGCTAAAAAGAAAATAATAAAAGACTCTTCCTTACTTTTAAGCTTTATGTCTAAAAGACATTTGTAAACAAAGGGAGCTAACTCTTATTGTTTTGCATGACACACAATTAACTGAGAGAAAAACATTAATAAGGAAAGTATGATTGAAGCATAAAAACTGGTTGTCCTTAATTTTATTTCTAAGAATCACAAAAAAAACCCCATTCCTGTGATGAATCCACAAAATAACAAACCACAAACAGATTCTGATTAGTCATAAATGGCTCCACATTATCTAAATTATTTCTGGGAGGGTGTCATTCTATTTTCTGGAACAGCCATAAACATATTAATGTTGTCTAATACAAATGATACATGGTAAATGATTAGATCCATGAGTAATACATTTGCAAAGTCTTCTTAACAATGAGAAAATCATGTGTTTGTAACATACCCTGCCATCCTCTTTAGCTAATGTCAACATGACGATAATAGATACACTCTGTTCCCAAACCATTCTCCAGAAATCATCAATAGTACTAGGTATAGGTCCTTGTGAGGCTATGTACTCTCTCTGGGATTTGTATCCCTGCAAAAAAGATGAAGTAAGTAAAATCATGAAACTCAGCACCACTATACAAAAATATTTTAAGAAAAGACATATAATACTAATCAAATGTCTCTAACCTTTAAAATATGATTCTACGGATAGTTTCAATGAACATGCAATAGCACGACAGATTCATTTATACTTATGGCTGTCATGTAACATAAACAGATCATTATGACTTTTTTGTGCAACGACAAAAAAAAACTGTAAGGGTTCCGCGGAACCCAGGGTCTCTCCTACTTTTGCTGTTAATCGCAGGCTCAACAAAAATGAGGAAACAAATTAGTAAAAATATTCCTCTCGATACTATCTTTTGATTGTAAGAAGCTTCTGTCCAAGTTTGGTAATAATCAAGGATAGTTTATGAATCTAATAAATGTTTTAAAAACTTTAACTGCCGACTATGTAATGTTAACTGGAAGCAAAACTAATGTAAAAAAGAAGATATGGTATGATTGCCAATGAGACAACTCTCCACAAGAGCCCAAAATGACACAGACATTAACAACCATAGGTCACCGTACGGCCTTCAACAATGAGCAAAGCCCTTATCGCATAGTCAGCTATAAAGGCCCCGAAATAACAATGTAAAACAATTCAAACTAGAAAACTAATGGCCTTATTTATATAAAAAAATGAACGAAAAACAAATATGTAACACATGAACAAATGACAACCACTGAATTACAGGCTCCTGACTTGGGACAGGCACATACATACATAATGTGGCAGGGTTAAACATGTTAGCGGGATCCCAACCCTCCCCCTAACCTGGGACAGTGGTTTAACAGTACAACATAAGAACGAACTATAAAAATAAGTTGAAAAAGGCTTAACTCATCAGATGGACAAAAAAACAAGTGGACCTGGCTGGGTACTTGTACATCCCAACAACAAAAAGACACTAGGAACAGATCTGAGAGTACTCACAGTTAACTGACAGTTGGTTCCAAGCCACTAACAACTAATAAAAAAATCATGCATCTAAGACTAAATTAAGTCCATTTATAAGTAAAATACGGAAAACAAAATTTCCTTCTAGATACTAGTTTTTGATCATAAACAAGCTTCTGTTCAAGTTTGGTACAAATCCAGGATAGTTTAAGAAAGATATTAAAATTTTAAAAACTTTAACCACAGAGTGAATGTAATGTTTGCTGGCAAAAAAACTAATAGATATAAGAAGATGTGGTATGAATGCCAATGAGACAACTCTCCATCCAAGTCAAAATTTATAAAAGTAAACCATTATAAGTCCATTTATAAGTAAAATAAAGAAAAACAGGATTTTTTTTTTTTACAAAATTTACTTCTGGATACTATCTTATGATCATAAACAAATTTCTGTCCAAGTTTGGTAGAAATCCAGGATAGTTTAAGAACGACAACAACGACAGAATGTAGGATCGCTATGTCTCGCTTTTCGACAAAAGTCGAAGACTCTACAAAAATTAATGAATTTGTCCTTCATATGTTTTTATAATTATAGGCACTGTATATTAAGCCCATCAACCAGAATTCAATAGACAAAATGATAAATTAACATTGACCTTGAGAGATCATAGAACAAGATGCTATTCTTTTTAAAATATTTTCTTTTACCCGGCGATAAGGAGGCCTCCTATGATAGTTAACTTATATATAAGAAAGAAAAAGAAAGAAAGATGCATATAATTCCAATTTCTAAATAATTTGAGTATGAAATCCATGTATTACTTACAGGTATGTAGTTTGCATTGATGAATGTAGATGCTTCTTCATCATCATCTCCCAATGGTAATAATTTGACAATAGTATGATCGTCTGAAAGTATAGAATAAATATTAGCAATACTAATTGCTGATGTTTTTAATGTATGAAATGACATCAATCTGTACAACTTGTTTGTCATTTAAAATTTTGTGTCTAGTTGAGAGTTGTCTCATTGGCAATAATAGCACATCTTCATAATTTTATACAATGCATAAATATATAAAGCTATTTCTATAACCATGCTTTCTATGAGCCAGACAGTTTATAGTCTGTACTTCTATCAGGTAATCTTTCCGTCTTATTCTAAAATCTGTTTCTGCTCCTAAACAAAGTTTTTTTATTAGCAAGTTACAATCTAAAAAGGTCTTTTAAAATATTAGCGCCTAAATGATTCTTTTTAGTTTTATGCAACTTTCAAAAATTCCAATGAAAGAAGTTTGCGAATTTAATCATAAAACTAAGAAATTTGTTCTCAAATGTAATTTGTATGATAGAATAATACTTAATACTAATTATTTATATTTTAAAGTGTGAACGGCGGTGTGGATACTAATTAGGGGAAGATAATCCTAATGTAAATTCCAATTACGCAAGTATTATGAATTAATATAAAATTCACATTCCACAAAATGGGATTGTTCAAAATTTATTTTTCAGAAATAGAAAAAAAAGTTCTAGGGTTGGTTGGGTATCTGGAACCAAACATATTGTTATTTGGCCTTATAGCTATACTGACAGTTATCACTCTTGGTAGCATACTCTTTAATAACTAAGTTACTTACAAGGAAGAATATTGACATATCTGTTTTTCAGTTTATTGTCCTCAGTTTCTGCCAACAAAGTGGTAACTCCTTTCAATGTTTTGGGGTCTGTCAGAGTTTTTAGTTCCTGTGAAAAAAAGTCAAATGAATAAATCTTCTTTGAATAGAAATACAGATGATTAATAACATTTATAAAGACAAGATATTTCTGATGCATTTTAAAAGGAATTCAAATTATTGAACATGTATATACAATAGCTATGATATTGTCATTACCCAGAATTTATTCAATATTTAGTGTGGGTGCATTATTTTGATATTTTTAAACATTGAAACTATTATATTTACTTCCTAAATCTTCATTCAATAACTAGTGCTAATTATAAAATGTGTTTAAAAATAAAGCATAGAAAGCACATTGCAGGAAATGATGAAGGATGGCTTCTTCAAATTAATATGCATATTCATGACAAGAACATGTTAATGTACATTATATGAATATCAACCCTGCATTGTACTAGAAAGACACCCTGAGCCAGATTTTTAACAAGCTATATATAGCTAGTACACAAGGTAACAGTCTGCAGGAAGATATGTCACCTTACCTGGACAAATTGTTCTGACTTTGAGCCTACTAGTCTTCACTCTTACTCATTAATGTAGGCTTAGCAGAGAAAGAGCAAATACCAATTTTAAAGTCATTAGATTGACCTGGCCTGGAACCCACTACCTCTCGTACTTGAGGTGAAAACACAACCACTAGACCACAAAAGCTGTTATCACTTTGAAAGAAGGAGTTTCATTAAAATATCAACATAACTTCCTACATGTTTACCTCATACTCATGAGCAAATCTAAGATTACTGTCTTTATGAAGCTCTTCAATTTTAGCCTCAAAATCTCTCATTCTTACAGGTCTGAAATAAATAAATAAAAAAAAAATCATAAACAAACTTTTCTTATTGATAAAAGTATAACATATAATTAATACCTTCAAATGAAACTTTTAAATATGCAAAAAATAATTTGTTTGTCTTTTATTGTTTTAGCTTTGATACATAATAAATATACCACATACAAGCACATAGGTAAGAAAAATAGTACAATTTTAATTAAACTTAAATGGGTTTACATATTGATGGAATACGATTTTCAATAGCAAAACCCTTTTTTTCAACTACGGTCATGACACTTCAAAAGGGAAGTCAAGCTTCGATGGATAGATTGATCGAGTATATTTCTGATAGAAAATAAGTGAATAAAAAGTTTAAAAAAAATAAAATGTTAAAAATTTTGTGTATTTTAATAAATTTTCATGCTTCACATAAAACATACTACATGCTTACTATTTGCCTCATTCCCTTGAGAGGTAGATGATCAGCATACTAAAATAATTTTTCAAACATTTTTCATGTTTGCTTTTTTTTCGTCTTTTCCCTGAGTCTAGTTTAAAAACAATTTAGATTTTATTTGTAAATACTCTAGGTAATTTAACATTTGACCTATTATATGTACACTTAAAATAAAATTGATAATGGAAATGGGGAATGTGTCAAAGAGACAACAACCCACAACAACCCGACCATAGAGCAGACAACAGCCGAAGGCCACCAATGGGTCTTCAATGCAGCGAGAAACTCCCCCGTCCGGAGGCGTCCTTCAGCTGGCCCCTAAACAAATATGTATTGACTATTTGAAGACTGTATGCTGCCTTTTTTTGATGGATTGATGACTAACTGACATATATCAGCATCTCCTATATATCAATGCTCCTTACCGTTGTTTCTTGATATTTTTCCTTTCTACTGATGGAGTCTCCAGTCCTGCTGGGTTAGTGAAGTCAGGTTCAGCCTCCTCCTCCATCTTCTTTGGTTGATTCCTTTTAAATAAGTAATTTAATATTTCAGGTATTACTACTGTATTACGATAATCTTTTTATAAAAAAACCCAACAAATATCTGTATCTAGGAGATTTGTGAAATCTACAACAGAACTCTGTACCAGTATCTGTAATGTAGGCATTAGGGTAAAATCACAAAAATACTGAACTCCGAGGAAAATTTAAAATGGAAAGTCCCTTATCAAATGGCAAAATCAAATGATAAAACACATCAAACGAATGGAGAACAACTGTCATATTCCTGACTTGGTACAGGCATTTTCAAATGTAGAAAATGGTGGATTGAACCTGGTTTTATAGCGCTAAACCTCTCACTTGTATGACAGTCGCATAAAATTCCGCATCAAGGGTGTGTTATATGGATGTGATACTATAATTCTTAGAAACATGATAGTATTTCAAATTTCCCTGTTTACCAGGATGCTATATGAAACATCTGGGGAGAACACCGATATGTAAAAAATAATCAAAAAGAAAAATTGTAATTTAGTGGGAATGTAAAAGCTTTAGACCAAAGCACTTTTTGGACGGAAAAAAAACTACATATCAATATTGCAAATGTTTCCATAATTTAACAATTTGGAAATTATATTTAAAGTTAAATCAAGTGTTTAGTTTGTTTTTCAATGTTTTGGAAAAGTTTGAAACTTCTAAATAAATGTATTGTAAATTTAAAGAAAAAAAAAATTTCATTATACCTGTTCCTCTTCTTTTTTATCACGACAATAATGATGACGAGAATGATAAAAACAACTACAGCAGCTGCAGCTCCCGCTATGATGGCAATGGGTACATCCTCTGGTTCTACAAAATAAAACAGGCATTAATTAGTGAGTCTGTCAAACACAAGATTGGTGACAAGAATTTTTTAAGGGATGGTTTGACAGACATAACACAATGTAAAGATAACTGTATCACAGAACATTCAAACTTTGAATTATGACACTTCATTATGTAATCTTTGCTATCATTTGTAATAAACAAATTAGAACTAGGCAAAATGAAAAAAAAAAAACCTCAAAAAAACTTTTCAGTAACGCAAAAAAGTATGAATTTTCTCGTTTCATTTGCATTCTTTATAAGATCATTTTCTTACAAAGGGAAATGAGTGTTAACAGATATGTTGTCCAATATTTCTAAATATTCATATTACATTGAATAAATCAAAATTTTTTCAAAAAAATACTGTCATCCTTCATTATTCTATTATAACATAATAATGCCTAAATGATAACAAATTAATTTCTTTATTAAAACAAAATGCCCCATAGTTGTTAATTTTTGTATGTATAAAATCAGGGACTTTCTATACTAACTAGAAAGTCCCTGATAAAATTAAGCTTTGAAATTTAATTAATATGTAAATTCATTCAAATTGTTATATTCTTTTAAACAATAGGATTCAGAAATTTTGGCACACAAAATTCATAGTTTTGATGTCAATGAAATTGAAGGATATGAGTCCATAGGACATGATGCTCCTATATCCCACTTTATATTTCCATATTCAATGAACTGTGAGTGTGAACTGTAAAATCAGTAAAATTTGTGAACACTGTAATAGAACATACAATTTAAATAGTTCTAATCATAATGTGTAATAAGGTAGATAAAGGGTGTAAATCAAAATTGAATTGATAGAAATTTTTAATAATTTGCCAAAATGTGTTTTAACCATGTTTTTTTCAAAAATTTAATAAAATGTATACGTCACAGGGCTTCTACACAACTGTCCCTGTCCAATTAAAGGACAAAAGTGTCTGTCTTGTAGACGTGTATTCAGAACAGCAATTACAATAGGTTTATATGGTTGAATCATAGTACAAATGGTGTATGGGACTTTTACGTACTTCTGATGAAAGTGACAGAGAAATTCGGAATCTTTCACTGAATTATTTAAGTTGAAACATTACAAATATAAGAACACTTTGATTTTTCTTAAATTGATGCTTTCCTCTTGCTTCTTAGAATATTGATGAACAAATGATTATAATTAAGCTCGAAGTGAATAATTTAAATGCTGGTGATCTATTAAAGCCACTAATGACAAGTTGGATGTTTGGATGAAATTCTATCAGAACTAGCAAATCTATTAAAGAACTGAATGCCTCTTTTTTGTTTCTTATGCATGCCAACAAAGCTATAAAAAAAGATGCATTCAATTCTAATATATTTACATACTACAATTTAAAAACACAAGCATTATCAGTTATTGAATCTAAATTTATAAATAAAATTTGCAATCTAAAACAAAATAGTCATATTGAATGTGTGATTAAAATTAATGAAAAATAAACACCATTTAGCATAAATTATTCTCATATCGCTTAAATTACAGGGTACAGCAAAATGTCGTATAGAGAAAAAACCATATCAAAATACAAACACTGTCAACTAATAATCATCAATATTTTTTCTCAAAGACATATGCTTTAAATATGTATGTAGGAATATATAATGATGATTAAGAGTTTAGAATGCCTGAATGCAAATTTTGTATTTCAGAAAAAAATCATTAGTACATCAAGCTTGTCATGGAGTATTTTTTTTTTTTATGCAGTATTTAATGTTTATTTAAATTTGGGTCTGTTATAATTAACTCAACTAACATTTATTGATGCTAAATATTATAATTATTTATACTTTTTTTATTTTTAAACAGCAAGAATTCTAATCTATACTTACCAGGTTGTGTTGGAAACGGTCCGAATCGGTCAGATTCTGTGCACCCACCAGCAGTACAGGTAAATGCCACTATGCTATAAAACATATAAAGTTTCAGTTTAAAAATTAAGTTTTTCAAGTTATTAAGTTTGTCTGTCTGATTATTTGATTGTTGCTTACTTAACATCCAGCTGCATATAATGTTTTTTTGTATGTTGCTAAATTAAAGTGAAAATTGAACTTATCTGAAACTTTTTATGATGACCTTAAACCAAATATATAATCAACTAATCAAGATATAACAGAAAGAACAAGAATGTGTCCATAGTCCACAGATGCCCTACTAACACTATCACTTTCTATGTTCAGTGGACCGTGAAATTGGGGTCAAAACTCGAATTTGGCATAAAAATTAGAAAGATCATATCGTAGTGAACATGTGTACTAAGTTTCAAGTTGATTGGACTACAACTTCATCAAAAACTACCTTGACCAAAAACTTTAACCTTAATCTGGACAGATAAACAAATGGACAGAAGGACAGACAGATAAACAAATGGACGCACAGACAGAAAAACATAATGCCCCTAGGTTGGGCATTAAAAAATGCAAACCATTTTTTCAACCAATCAAATTATTATTTTACTATCGTGTAAATTCCCTTAAAACTGTTCAATAGAAGTAAAACTTATACTTAATTTGTTACTTTTAATGATATTCATTAATGACAACTATTAAATTATAGCTCATTGTACTACTAGGGTTGTAAATTCCGTCATAAAATTTCAAACTGGAATGAAACTCTTCCTTAATCGGTTACTTTTTATGATATGCCTTTGTATCAAATAATATAGTAAATAGTTCAGGCATTGCAGTCAAAAATGAAAAAAAACCCCAGAAATTTCCGAACAATTTACTCTATCAAAACCCCCAAAAATCACAAATTGTTCCACAGAAACAAATCTTGAACTTAATCCCTCATTTTTAACGTTATATTTTATAACTCTGTATCAAATATATTATTAGATGGATTCCAGCATTCCAGGAAAATGGTTAAAACTTAAATATGAGCTTATAATGTTGGATAGAAATCAACCATATGCAATTGAAAATCTATACATCTGCTATCCTATTTCAGGTTTGAAAAATCTCTATGCAAGGTCTGTAACTGTTCTTTTTAGAACCCTACAAAAGTGACAAAAATTCTTCTATTTATTTATATTTGAATGGTCTGAAATCAATCAATGTTTTGTAGATGTACAAGTATACTTGCACTTGCATAAGGTCGATATCTATCCATCACAGCTCATATGATAGACTGATGGACAAACAGAGTGAAAAAAACAGGGTTCTTATAACATAAAAAAAGACTCTATCTTACATATAACTCTTTCCAGGGGCTAAAGGTCCATTACAGTAGACTGTATCCTCTCGTTTTGAACAATCATTATCTTCTCCAAGCATAAATTCTACCTCATGACTACTTCTCTTACGGCGTCCTACAGCAGTTTCTGTAACAATGATATCTCTAATTAGAAATTATTCTTAATTAGGAGTTATCTACCCTTTTCTAATGTAGGTATTTTGATAGTTTGTGTATAGAGCAACCTCAGACATTTCATACTATCACGACTATTAAAAATATTTCTCTCAAACTCAATTTTTACCATTTGCCTTTTTAGACCAGAAATAAAGTGCTTTTCTAGCTACAACAGGAAACAACAAACAAATCCTATGCTAACTTCAAAAACTTGATTCTGATTACAGCTAGGCAAAAACATACCATTAGCCATTATCCAGCAATAGTTATAAAAGGCATAATGTAAAGAATCTCCAAAATTGAGCTAAAGTTGAAAAAAAGTTGCTCACATCAAAATCCTTTGTTTGCTTTTGAATAGTTGTCTCATTGGAAATCATGACACATTGCCTTACTTTTATTTTGTTGTTTTTAACGATTTTGAAAATTGTAAAAAGTTTATAGTCTCTTGAACACCAATTTACTAAAGTTCAAAATAATTTGCTCCATTCATATTTGTTTACTGCACTTAAGTTTATTGTTGTTGATTTGCTATTACATCACTGTCTTAGGTTAAGGACAATAAACAATGAATAGCCTCACTGTAATTTTACATATGAATTATACAGGAGATGAGGGTATTCATTACTTATACCATATTAACACTATGAAATCTGCTGGGGGTCGAACCCGGGATAATTAATCCGAATTAATTACCCCAGTTCACACTTAATAAAAAATTACACCAGTTTGGGATTTTCCCTCTCAACAAAAATGGAAATTTAAGCGCCAAATTTGTAACCCCCCTCTGTCCACTGTACATATTTACATTTTTTTTTCATCACAGATGCATTATTTCAAAGTCTGAAATTTTTTACTGCACTCCCGACCACTTCGGAGGAGTTACACATTCACCACTTTTCGTGTTATCAAATAACGTCACTTTATCCAAATTGCACCCCCCCCAAAAAAAAGCGATGGAAATCTTATAGGTTTCATCATTTGTCATTATGCAGGTATTTCAGCACAGCTAAATACACTTATATCCCTCTTGCTGCCGCTAATTTAATATGGGTATAATTCGTGACCCAGTAACTTCGGTAGAGCTCTGTCAAAATATGACGTCATTCGATATGTGACATCACGCAATAATTACGTTGTACATTGAAGACCTATTTAAGCAAACGTCAAATGTCACCATAGCACCAACCTCACATTAACTTCACTTTGCGTTCACATATAGAAGCAAGGTAATTAACCCGGGTTGGACCCACATTAACTCCACCTAAAATGAGGGGTAATTTTAATCCAAATTCGCCACGGGTTAAGGCGTTCACACTACCTAAATTTAACCCGGATTAACTAATTCGGGTCGAACCCGGTTTAAAAAGGCATAGTGTGAAAAGGGTATGAGACAGAAACCCAACTACACTAAAACAAATATATATATGTATGTATACTTTCTCATTCAATGATCTGTTTTTCTGAATATGCTTATAGATACCAGGATTAAAATTCAGTACACCAGAAGTGAGTTTCATTTGCAAAAGACTTATTAGAGATGTTCAAATAAAGAATGTTGAATAGGCCAAATAAAGTATGAATGTGAAGAACCTTGAGAACTCAAAATTTAGAAAAACTTTGACTACAGCTAAGGTAATCTATTCCTGGGGTAGAAAATCCATAGCATTTAGAAACAAGAATGTGGCTATAGTACACGGATGCCCCATTCGCACTATCATTTTCTATGTTCAGTGGACCGTAAAATTAGGGTCAAAACTCTAATTTGGCATTAAAATTAGAAAGATCATATCATAGGGAGCATGTGTACTAAGTTTCTAGTTGATTGGACTTGAACTTCATCAAAAACAACCTTGACCAAAAACTTAACCTGAAGCAGGACAGACGGATGGACGAATGGAAGGATGAACGAACGGACGAACGAACGGATGAACAGACGGAGGAACGGAGGCACAGACCAGAAAACATAATGCCCATAAATAGGGCATTCTAATGCCCATAAATGGGGCATAAAAATCTCTTTAAGCTATTTTAGTAGTTAATCTATAATTATGACCTTATCAATTATAATTCATGTTAACACAGAAGTAATGACTAATAGCATAATACATCTGAAGTTATATCAAATAAATTCAACTATATAAAGGATACTTACTGTATTTATCATAAATCCATGTGTTGTTAGTAGCTCTGTAAGGTTCTACAAACCCTGTTTTCTGAGCTTCTTTCCATGTTTTGAATGTCCCAAGTCCAAATGGATTTCCAGCTTTAGTTCCTGTTCCAGCACCTGAACAATTAAATATGTTTTGTTTTAATCTTAAACTTTTGACACTTGCATACCTGAAAAAGGTAATTCCAGGAACACATGCTATGCAAACAAGGATAAATACTTGTGAAACTACCGATGCTGCTGGTGGATATTTTTGCTTCACATCAAATATCAAAGTGCTTGAAAGAACTGTGGAGAAAGACTGCTTTCATTCCTTTTGCATTGTGAACTTAAAATCAATCAATGCATTGCATGAGGCAAACATATATCTATTTTAGGCTGTTTTATATGCCTTTTGGTGTTACTTCAATACATATAGCGTGGCTCTGTACTTATACATCCCGTTATTGTGCTATTGTAAAACTTGTTTGTTGCTTGTCTTTCATTTTTGCTATGTGCTTTGTCTATATGCCTTTTTATGTTTCTTTGTTACATATATGACGTGGCTCTGTACTTATACATCCCGTCATTGTGTTATTGTACTATGGTAAATCTGTGTATTCTTGTCTTTAATTTTTGCTAATATGCTTGGTCTATATGCCATTTTGTGCTTCTTTGTTACATATTTGTTTGGTTATTTTTTTAGTGATTAAGATTATAACACAATTTTGACTGCTGTATTTTTGACATTTTTACCTATTATGTCAGTTTGTTTTGTTCACGCATCGTTGTCAATATAATGGAATTTGATACGACTGTCATACAAGTGAGAGGTTAAGCTAGCTATAAAACAAGGTTCTACATAAGAAAATGCCTGTACCAAGTCAGGAATATGACAGTTGTTATCCATTCGTTTGATGTGTTTGAGCTTTTGATTTTGCCATTTGATTACGGACTTTCGGATTTGAATTTTCCTCGGAGTTCAGTATTTTTGTGATTTTATTTTTTTTTCACACTACAGGTTGTGCAATATTGTCAGATTTTGTAAAGATTATGCATGGAAAACCTCATTTTGTGTGGTAAAGATAGAATTTCAATATGAGACGATAGTATAATATGCTTTCCGATAACAAAAAGAAAAAATGGGGTAACTGGATTCGTTTTCTTGTAATATAATAAAATAGGTAAATTCATAACACAATCTCCCCTTCTTTGGCAAAGTTGAAAAAAATTGAAACAAACAAAAATTTAATATTATTTTGTAAAATATAGCCCTAAAATATGATAAAACACATAATTTTCTATACTGAAACAAAAGTCTTGCACATGAATAACATACTATTCCTGAACTTTGCACATTTCATTAAATATCTAGACCGATTGCTATCTGCTATTAAAATCAAAGATGGAGGAGACACCCCAGGTACCTAAATTATGCATCTTGGATTGAACCAAACTTAAACAGACCAAATGTGGCAAGTTTGTCTGTCTTTAATTTCAGTTGACTCACTATGCAGCACCTATTTGATGGAATTACTGTCAATTGGTTCTTGGACAAAGTATGTATGAAACATTAGCGACTGGATTTTAAGCAAAAAGCAATCAATCATTCAGTACTTTTGTGCTGCTAATTTTCTATTTAAAATTTTACTTCTTAAAATGACTAACCGTAGTTATCACATTTATCCCCAGTACAAACAATCACTCCCCAGTCAGTGAAAACACCATTGTCCTTGTTATAGAAAAACCAGTCTCCGTTCAATTCAACACTAATAGTCCTCTGTGTGCTCACTGCTTTACTAACTTCAGTAGTTACTGGACTAAATGTTGGTGGGAGTGGAGCTGAAATATATACTTTATGTATCATAACTATTAACCAATAGTATTATTTATTGTACAGCAATGTAATATTTCCCACAGAACATAAAGAGAATTCAGCATGGAACTTTCCATGATATTGCTTTAGTGTGAATAAAGCTTTAAATTACTGAGGACATTAGTGATGAAAATATGTTTTATGTTTTTTTTCAAGCTTTGCTATACAACAAAAGGATTCCTGTAGAAATATTAGTGAAATTATACCTCTGAAGAAAATAAATTGCAATCGCAATCTTATGCAATATAAACATAGCAATATTCAACAAATATTCATACAATAATCCTATATATTATACAATCAAGTAGCAGTATAATTTTAGGACAACGTCTGAATCTCTTTAAACTCGCAAGTCTTATAATATCTACGATTAAGGATGTTCCGTACTCTGTTTCAAAATAGCAGTTTTAAAAAGACTGTTTTATATTGATAGTATATAAATAAAGGAACTAATAAAATGCTTCGCTGGGCGCAGCTTGATACGACCGCAGAGGTCGAACCCTGAACAGTTGGGGCAAGTATGGACACAACATTCAAGCTTGATACAGCTCTGAATTTGGATTGTGATTAAATATTTGACACAGCATAGGTTTCTGACACAGAAAGAATGTGGTCTAAGAACTTCAATTTTTTTAATTTACCTATTATGGTCCAATGTCCAAAATCAAAATACATGGTTAGATTCAGCATATCAAAGAACCCCATATATTCAATTTTTGTTGAAATCAAACAAAGTTTAATTTTGAACCCCAACTTGGACAAACTTGAAAACTGGTCCCATGATCAAAAATCTAAACACATGTTTAGATTCAGCATATCAAAGTACCCCAAGAATTCAATTTTTGTTAAAATCAAACAAAGTTTAATTTTGGACCCTTTGGACCTTAATGTAGACCAATTTAAAAAACGGGACCCAAAATTAAAAATCTAAAAACACGGTTAGATTTGGCATATCAAAGAACCCCAATAATTCAATTTTTGATGAAATCAAACAAATTTTAATTTTGGACCCTTTTGACCTCAATATATATGAACCAATTTGATAACGGGCCCACAAATAAAAAATCTAAATACATGGTAAGATTCAGCATATCAAAGAACCCCATATATTCAATTTTTGTTGAAATCAAACAAAGTTTAATTTTGGACCCCAACTTGGACCAACTTGAAAACTGGGCCCATAATCAAAAATCTAAACACATGTTAAGATTCAGCATATCAAAGAACCCCAAAAATTCAATTTTTGTTAAAATCAAACTAAGTTTAATTTTGGACCCTTTGGACCGTAATGTAGACCAATTTAAAAAACGGGACCCAAAATTAAAAATCTAAATACACGGTTAGATTTGGCATATCAAAGAACCCCAATAATTCAATTTCTGATGAAATCAAACAAAGTTTAATTTTTGACCCTTTTGACCTCAATATGAACCAATTTGGAGGCGGGGTCCACAAATAAAAAATCTAAATACATGGTAAGATTCAGCATATCAAAGAACCCCATATATTCAAATTTTGTTGAAATCAAACAAAGTTTAATTTTGGACCCCAATTTGGACCAACTTGAAAACTGGGCCAAAAATCAAAAATCTAAATACATGTTTAGATTCAGCATATCAAAGAACCCCATATATTCAATTTTTGTTAAAATCAAACAAAGTTTAATTTTGGACCCTTTGGACCTTAATGTAGACCAATTTGAAAACTGGACCCAAAATTAAAAATCTAAATACACGGTTAGATTCGACATAACAAATAAATAAATGTGGTCAAAGATTTTACAAATCTAATGCGCCATACTGGTCTTCCTTTATAAATATGCATTTCTTTAAACATAATTTAAAAGCAGTGTAAGGGAAGTAACCAACACGTTGTATTTGGATTACCTCCCTTACACTATTTTAAATTATCTTAATTGTTCATTAACCATTACTTTATACATAATTTTAAGCAGTGTTAGGGAGATAATTTCAATGATGTATTTGATTTATCTCCCTTACACTGCTTTAAATTATGTTTTGTACTAAAGTATTTGTCCATTAATGAGGACAACCTTGTTTTTCCCCCTTTTTTGCCCCTAATTCTTAAACGGTTTGAGCAATAACCCCCCAAAGCAAATCCTAACCATCCCTTTGTGGTATGGAAACTTGTAGTATAATTTCAGAGAGATCCATACACCGTTCCACAGTTATTGTCTGGAAACTAGAAAATGCTTATTTTTGGCCCCTTTTTGGCCCCTAATTCCTTAACTGTTGGTACCATAACCCCCAAAATCAATCCCCACCTTCCTTTTGTGGTATTGAACCTTATGGTAAAATTTCATAGAGATCCATTCACTTAAACTAAAGTTAGAGTGCGAAAACTAATGCGTCTTCGGACGACGACGCCGGACGACGACGACGACGACGCCAACGTCATACCAATATACGACCACAAAAATTTTTTTGCGGTCGTATAAAAAAGCAGGTCCATTGCTTGTTTTCAAGATATAAGCCATTGAAAATTTAGCTGGAAATAATCCGCTCCAGATTTTTCATACATTCAACATTGGCACTCTTTTTCTTACAAAAACTATGAAAAAATAACAATGGGTTTTATAAGATTTTTAAACTATGTGTAATCAAATTATGGAAAGAAAAGTAAGGGTTATTGGGCAACACTTTTAATGGCACCACATGGATAAAACCAGAGGATTCCAAATAACTGGCAAAAATTCAAAAACAAGAGGAGTGAACATCCGTAAAAGTACATAATACAATATAATTTGACAGGTCATTTCTTCGAGGTGAAAAGTCACCTAATTGATAGGATTATTACATTATATATATGATAAACTGTTTATACTGTTCAATGAAGTTATTTTTAGGCAAATGCATTGTTATCAAACAAGTCACTTACAAACACATCATAAAAGTCTGAAGCTTTTATTTTCTGTGAGTGAATTGGTCCAGTTTAAGCACCAATAAATTTCTTTAATAAGGTGTTAATAATCCTATAATAACTTATTGACAACTTACGCCCAGGCTCTGCATAATACATAATACGTCTTGGCTGTCCCTCTTGTGGAATTGTATTTACTGCTGTCACCTTAACAAATAATCATACATTTAATCATATTTTAATAAAAAATGGAAATAAGTCTTATTTATATGTGGTGTTGATTTTGCTCATTGTCGAAGTCCGTACAGTGAATTGTACTAGGGTTGGGTTGAGTTATAAAATTTAGATTAGAACAGGAAGAAAGCCATTGTAAATTACCAACCGAAACGTATACATGACCATGTACATGTGTTGTACTTGCAATAAAAACTATCTGTCAGCTGTTCTTTAACTTAATTTTATTTAAATTTAGACAAAAACAGAAAGAAAGAAAGTCAGACCCCACCTTCCTATGTACCAAAAATTACTGAACTAGAAAATATCTTCATCTATTTCATTTTGAAACAACAACAACAAAGTTGCAATTATTCTAATAACAGTATTTTAGTATTTCTGCAATCGAGGTGAGATCTGATAACCATTCCAAATATGTATTGAAGAATTAATAAAAAACATTGATACAATCAATTTCTTGGAATTAATACTATATGGGACAAATGAAATCTAATGATATTACTATTTTTGGTCATTATTGTCACTATTTTGATGTATGATTGATTTTATATATGTTGTATTTTGCTGTTGAATGTGTAATGTATGCATGCATTTGTTTGAGGACCTCCATGAAAATTAGATACGTTTTAATTGAGTTACCCTCTTTACAGTTGGAAAGCAAGTCCTTGGAAACATCCGTTGTCGCCAAGCTCTATCAGCAACAATAGCAGGGGGAATTAATTAGGTGGCCCTACAGTCGTATGCTAAAACATTGACGTTCTTCTTAATCCCCTTCACAATTGATGGTGACATTGTTTTCTTTTTTCAACATACGTCATATAACGTTAACAAAATATGTGTCAGGTCATGTGCATAGTGAAAATTCACACCTTGGAAAAGTAAAACAACATACAAAGATCTTCTTTATTGCGTTTGAAACTATATATGGCTTAGAAAATTTCATTCATACTAGAAGCAAATCTGACAAATTAATGATAGCCCATGGATGGACAAAAGCACAAAAAATAGCAATAGAAAATGCATTGTAAAGAAAATTTCTGGAGAAAAAAAATATGAAAAAAGAAAATGAAGGTCAGTTAATATTACATTTATATTTTATAAGTTAAAAACCTTGCTTATTCAATTATCTCTTTACTAAGTAAGCTACATTAATAAGAGCAAAAACTAGCTTATCAAGTCAAACAAGAAATTAATTCATAGAGATGTGTTCTTACAAAATTGAATTTATTCAAATGGCAAATTCTTGTCAAATTCAATAATCCATTGATCATAAGTAAAGTGCACAAGATTTGTCCCACCAACTTTCATTTGTGATATAGATATCCAATTATTAAGGTAAAATATACAATACTTTGTTTATAAATATGTAAAGCAACTAATACAGCAACCTGAGGAGAAGAAGCCCCATTTTTTTTCTTCAAAAAGTTTACTTTCATAATCTATGTAATATATATACCCTGCAAAATTAGACATGGGCTACTGTGCTAGCTAATCTAGTAGTTGAATTTTACAATGATAATGATTTTAAAATTCAAATTATGTCACATTCACTTAAAATTTTAAGCATTATTTTTTTACAGAATTTCTGGCAATATTTGTGGTAAACTTATTCTTTTTCTGTAGGATATTTTCTAGGCAGTACTGTACTGTTCAACTAAGAAACATAGGCCTGAGTCTAAAGGCTCTTTAAGTACTTTGAAGAAACTTATTGTGAATCTTGGTCCCACTTTATAGAATATAAAATATAAATGATCAGTACTATTTATTATTTTCATTTTCAGAAAGATTATTCAAATTGTATGAAATATGTTTTATTGCATTAAACATTATTTAATAGAAGTGTTTAAAAATAATTCTAATAGGAGTGATCCCATAAGGCATATACCATTTTAAAAATTACAAAGTAAATTTCATCAGCCAGAACTTATTTTTACATGTAGGTGACATTTCTTAATTTTAACTGATTTTTTTGTCTTTTAATTTTTACATCTAAATTAAATCCTTCTCTGAAAAGTAGGGAAGTTTCTCTTCTCAATATTTTAATAACATAGTTGTAAATCAAATTTAGCTTATTTTCTTCCTGATTTTTGTAAAGTAAACTCCTTTTTATTTTTTTTGCTGGGTTTTTATTTTTGACTAGTGATATCAAGGGGAGATAACCACTTGCACAAATCGGCAAAAAAAAAAACAGCCTTCGCGTTGAAAATAACTTGACGTTTGCGTATCCAAAATTCTCTTGCATAGATATTCATATTGAGTGTTTGTCTTAATAAGATGCTTTATTAAATTTAAATTCAGCTCATCATTTTCAGTTTCCTCAAAAATATTTAGATTTTTCAATCAGGAGACTTGACAGTTTTCACACAAACATCAAGTTTGAAGATAAAATAAAGAATAAAGGACTTTGAGTTTTGGTGTGTAAGTTTTGACGGGGTAAAACTATGAATATTCAAGATTATTTTCATCAATGTTTTATTTTTGGCCCCTTATTCCTAAACTTTTTGGGCAATTACCCCAAAACTCAATTCCAGCTTTCCCTTTGTGATATGGAACCTTGTAGTACAATTTCATAAAGATCCATACACTTACACACAAGTTATTGTCATGAAACTAGAAAAATGCTTGTTTTTTTGCCCCTTTTTGGCCCCTAATTCCTAAAATTTGGAGGCAACTACCCCCAAAATCAATCCCAGCATTCCCTTTGTGATATGGAACCTTGTGGTACAATGTCAGAGAGATCCATACACTTACACACAAGTTATGTCTGAAAGTTACAAAAAAGCTTATTTTTGGCCCCTAATTCCTTAACTGTGGGTACCATAACCCCCAAAATCAATCCCCACCTTCCTTTTGTGGTATTGAACCTTATGGTAAAATTTCATTGAGATCCATTCACTTAAACTAAAGTTACAGTGCGAAAACTAATGTGTCTTCGGACGACGACGATGACGACACCAACATCATACCAATATACGACCACAAAAATTTTTTTGCTGTCGTATAAAAATGAGGTTTGTCTCGTCCGTAGTTTTACTGAATTTTCATGGTCACGTGACCTCTATTGTTGCTTATAGACTTGGGGTCAAACCGTGACCTACTGTCCAACTGTTTCAATAAATAAAAAAAATTAGTGTTAAAAATACTTGTTAAACAAGATATCTTATGGTTGGCTATAATTGCTTACATTCACCTCTTTGAACTTTGGTAGATAGTTGTCTCATTGGAAATCATACCTCAACTCCTTATTTTTATATTATGAACATACAACTGAATATATTCTCTAATTTATAACATACCTCTATTTTGTACCATTGCTCGGTAGCTACAGACAAAGTTTCCATCAAGTTGTCTGAATCAGCATTAGTTCTAGGGGTTACTGCTGTCATTACCTGTAAATACATGTATCTTTTTTTTTAAAACAGGTGGATAGATTTCTGAAACCATAAATTACTGATAATTTCTTTCACTTTAAATCTTTAACATCTGATGAACAAATTAATTATAAATTACATGTATCTAATTTCAAATAAAAAAAACAATAAATTTATTCATAGTCTCATGATATAATATTATCACTTTTCATCCTTAGTCAAAATAATTATGACGTCTTGTAAGGTATTGAATGTCTCTTTTGTATCTTTCACCTCTATCTTAATGCTGAAAAGGCCTTGGTGTAATGACGTTGTAGGAAGGTGTCACAGCTTAAAAAAAACAAAACTTAAAAAATGTAATAATTTTCAAACTATTTTCCTTCTCTGATTCATATCCATTTTAATATTATGAAATAAAGAATATTTTGTATGATAAATAAGAAATTACCCCAGAAATATTATGCATCAAAATGTATTCTTTAATATCGCCATTTCTTTCCCGTAGTGTTGGAATATTCCATTTCACATCCATCTGTGTATAATTGTTGGCATCCTGTGGTCTAGAGGCATTCAAATTTTGAACCAGACCAGGTGCTATTTAAAATAAAGATAACATGTGTGAATACTGGAATCATATATACTAGAAAACTTCCTTCTGTTTCAGAAATTGTCAGGAGGTGACATCGGACTCTGACATTTTTTAACTGACTTTTACTGTGTGTATTGTTATGTGTTTATTTTTCTTCATTGGCTAGAGGTATAGGGGGGGGGGGTGAGTTCTAAAAAAACAACATGTTTCACCCCGATGCATTTTTGATCCTGTCCCAAATCAGGAGCCTCTGGCCTTTGTTAGTCTTGTAAGATTTTTAATTTTAGTTTCTTGTGTATATTTTAGTATGATGTCAATTATCACTGAACTAGTATACATTTCTGTTTAGGGGCCAGCTGAAGCACTTCATTAAACACCCATTGGTGGCCTTCGGCTAATATCTGCTCTTTAGTCAGGTTGTTGTCTCTTTTACACATTCCCAATTTCCATTTTCAATTTTACTACTTGTTGAATTTCTCTACAACAATCTTATAATAGAAAATCATTAACACCTAACTTTACTTGGAAACAATCTCATTAAAATCCGATGCTCTGATACACATCAGAACATTGGATTTTAATGAGATTGACTTGGAAAGGAATAAAAATATCTGACAGTGTTAAATAGTTTGGCAATTCTGTACCCCTCCTCTTTTAATCTCTTAAACCTAATTAGTTGATTAACAAAATCCACATGAAATAAAAGCAGAATATACTGAATAATAATACTTGATCATCAAAATCAGACAAAACTTACCAGCTTGGTTGGTCTTAGCAACTGCAGTCATGGGAGATGTAGCGACACCTTTAACGGTACTTGCTGTTACTGTGAATTTATAGTCCCAGTACTCCTCTAATCCAGTGAAATCAACAGTTTCAGTATCATATCCTTAAAAACAAAAGAATTTCAATTTATTTACCTTATTTTATGGATGACCTCCTTAAAAACAAGAGGCTCTTAAGAGCCTGAATCACTCACCTGCTTAAATATTTCATCATTTGATTATTTTTGCTTTTCAATATATATAAATGAGTGGCTTAAAAACTCCATTTAAATGTTTTTTGTTGTATCTGTCATATTTTCTTCAAAAGCAAAAAGATGCATTTTACCCCTATGATCCATTTTAGTTATAATGGCTATGTTTCTTGACGTACAATTAAGGAAATAAAATAAAAAATTTATACTAGATACTCTGAAACTCATTCAGCCCAAGTTTGGCTAAAAGTGATTTTTTAAACTAATTATACTAGGCGATTTGTGAAAAATTGTCTTTAAAGGGCAATAACTCCTTAAAGGGTAATTTTTTTTACAATTTTGGTCATGTATAACAGGGTCGTCCCAATATTCTGATACCCCATTAGTCTGACACCCCATTAGTCCGACACCCCACTGGTCCAACACCCCAATAGTCAGACAAAGGTTTATAACTGCTAAATTAGATAATCTACTTCACGAGGGTGTCAATGGGGATTACAGAACAGATGATAATGGGCAAAAATATAAAGAATAGAGAAAAATGGACAAAAAAAATAAAGAAAGGAACAGAAAATAAAGACTATAGAATAATGAGATGCTAGCCTAAAATATAAAAAGATTAAAGAATAAAGGGCAAAAAGTATAAAGAATAGAGAAAATGGTATAACAATTAAAGAATTCAGAAATGAATTATCCACCCCCCCCCCCCCCCCCCCTTTTTCCCTTTGGCCCGCCTCGAAACCCTCCTTAATAGAATTGTTGTTGACATGGTATTTGAACTACTCTTTCTTATAATTATGTCACAGACACAGATAATACCATACCATCTATCTGGTATTATTATTAAAGACGTACCATGACCATATGTATATTAAGAAATCAAGAACCTTGCAAGTTTTGGTAAACTAATACAAGATGTGTTCTATATGGGAACACATTCTACTAAAAAGGAAATATCATCAGCAGTGCAGTCTCTCATTATAAAGAATACTGTTCACATAATAGAACAGCACAAGCAAACATGTGACATGAAAATATTCCAGCAACCCACACCACTTCTCTTGACATTACCACATGATTATACCCATTGTCATTATTGCTATTTACTAGTACCATTTTTTGCTATTGTAAACTCATATACTCAAATAGATTCCTTGATGAGAACGCCCGAAACTTTACAAAGTTCTATTTGGTTTACCAGTTTTCCCATTGTCTTAAGAGTTGCATAAAGACAAACTAAACTAATGCTCATCTCATATTAATTCTGTACACTGAACCAAGCATCATGCATACAATCTTTTAAGCAGTAAAGCCTAATTGGAGCCTTAACTTTCTAAATTCTCTGCTTTGGGAGAGATACAAAGCTGCCTATCTTCATATTAGTTATTCGACAAGACTTCACAGTTAAAGTATATTTAGTTTGACAAAATGTTAGCTACTCCGCGTCTCTATATGTTGTTTGGGTAAGTATATCCCACTATTTTTTACCGATACATATCCTTTTCTAGATTTAGACATTTCAATTTCTAAAGGGAAACTCCATTCTAAAATGTATGACAAAAGAGACGATTTTTCATTCCCTATAGTTAATTTTACTTTTTCAGACAGCAATGTTCCTTTGGCTACATCTTATGGTGTTTATATATCCCAACTTGTTCCTTATAACCGTCTGTGAAGAGATGTTATAGATTTTAACGAACGTAATCAATGCATCACTGGTAAATTATTAAGTCAGGGATTTCGTTGTACCATAAATTACTTAAAAACTTTTACAAGATTCTTTCATAAATACAAAGATTTTATTAGTAAATTTGGCTATACCTGTAGAAAACTAATTAAAAACTGTATACACATCCTAAATTTTACAGAAATATTGTACTAAAAGTGCGGAAATCACTATGTGATCTGTGTAAACTCATCGAACCTTTTAACAAACTTATAAGTAAAAGGGTATCTTTACCAATGTTGTAATTAGATTTTTTAACATTGGCACTAATATTGATTTTGTCATCAGCAAATTAAAACATAACTAAATTTCTATTCTTTTTAAACGGGATGTATAAAGACATACCCAGATTCATTTTAATTTATAAAGAGGTTAACTCCTAACTATCCTACTGCCTGTCGATATATTTATTTTTGGCATTGCACAAGTCATGTCTTCTTTAATTTGACTGTCCATGACGTTTAAATACTAAATCCCTGGAATGTGTTTTAGTTGATACAAGTCTCTGATGCATGATTTTTTTATTATTAATTGTTTTTGGCTTTTAACTAGCTGTCAGTAACTGCGAGTACCCTCAAATCGTACTTTCTTGTTAATTTGACATGTTGATATTATTTGTAATGCTTTTTTTGTTATTTATTGAGACAATAAAAGAATGTGTCCCATGGACACAGATGATGGGACACAGATGATGCCCCCGCTTGCATATCATATAAAGTTATAAAGGGACATAACTGAACAACTGTAAAAGTGATGCTACCCAAATGTGTACTTGATCTCTGTTTTATGGTAAAAAGTATTGTGTATATGTTTCATAACATTTTGTTGAGGCGAAATTAAGTAAGAGAACACAAACGAAAAATTCAGCAATTTTTCAATTTGTGAAGGGGCCTAACTCTAGAACAGTAAAAGTGACACCTCCTAAATTCAAAGTTCATCTGTGTTTTGTGGTAATAAGCATTTTGTATAAGTTTCATTAAGTTGAGGCAAACTAAAGTTAGAGAACAGAAACCAACATTGGGACGTACGTACATAAATAGAAACAGACAGACAAGGGTAAAACTTGACGCCCCCTCTGTTACAGCTTAGGCATAAAAAGAAAAGATTGAAATTGTGTCCTTCTTTTTGAGATATTTGAATTCAATTTTTTTTAAACTATGTATATTTCCTTAAATCAATATTTGTATGCTTAATATTTTTCCTGATTAAATTCTTATAGAATCCATATAGCATTAATTAAGTACCAACCATTCACTGTCATTTCTTTCACAGGCGTGTCTTTTCCTTCTAAAACCTCATAGGCCTTTACTATATAAGTTGTGTTGCCAGGTTTAATTGTAGGTTTGGTCCAACTAACTCGTATGATTGTCGAACCTCGCACTGTAGTTACTACATTCCCAGGTATTTCAGGCACTAAAATAGTTTTATAAAAAGAAAAAAAAATATAACTTTGTGTTTCAAGAAACTTTATCCAATTAATAGCTATATGCGTCTTGTTAGACAAATGGCATTAATGACATCAAAATTCAAAGAAAAAATGATCTGGCAATTGCCATAAGAAGCACATCAATTTAGCAATTTCAATGCAAACTTCTTAAATTTGTCATTATATCTGTACTGAGATTAAAACCATTGGAAAAGCACTTATTGTCAATACAGTTGAACCCTACCACCTGAACCTTTCCTGTTTATTTATATATTATAAGTTATGGTTCTTATTGGTCATGATTTTAAACAGAAATGATGTAATAGTGTGTACACAAATTCATTTTTAGTAACAATGACCCTGACATTAGACATAGTGATTTCTTATATTGGTCCAATATCCCGCAATGGTTGCAATATAAAAATAAATTGCTTCGCTGAGTGCAGCTGGATACTAATGCAGAGGTCCAACTCTCAACAGTAGGGGCAAAAATGGACACAATATTTGTACTTGATACAGGTCTGAATTTGGATTGTAATTAAATATTTGACACATAATAGGTTTCTGACACAGAATAACTCTAGTCAAAAAACTTAGAATGGGTTATATGATTTGAATTTATATTCAATTTTTTGCTTTTGTGCAATACACTATGTTGTTGCGAATTGACATCCTCCTCCCCCCAAAAAATAAGAAAATAAAAATCAACCCCCCTTTATTTTTTGTATGGAAACTTGTGGTATAATTTCAGAGAGATTCATACACTTTAACACAAGTTATTGTCTGGAAACTACTAACTGCTTATTTGGGCCCCTAATTCCTTAACTGTTAAGACCATAACCTCCAATATCAATCCCAACCTTCCCATTATGGTTATAAACCTTGTGTATAAATTTCATGGATTTCTATTTACTTATACTAAAGTTATTGTCTTGAAACCAACTGTCTTCAGACGACAAAGACGACGCTGGCGACAACGACTGATACCAATATACGACCACAAAAATTTGTTGCCGTCGTATATAAAACAATTGACAGCTAATCATCTCAAGAAAATACAACATTTATTTATACGTAATTTAAAAGCAGTGTAAGGGAGATAATCCAACATTGTAATTCAAGTGGGTTTTTTAGTGTTTGAAAAACCTCTCTTACAGTACTGCTTTCAAATTGTCCATTAACCAGGAAAACCTTGTTTTCCCCCTTTTTTGCCCCTGATTCCTAAAGGGTTTGAGCCATAACCCCCCAAAGCCAATCCTAATCATCCCTTTGTGGTATGGAAACTTGTGGTATAATTCAGACAGATCCATACACCGTTCCACAAGTTATTGTCTAGAAACTAGAAAAATGCTTATTTAATCCCTTTTTAGGCACTTAATTCCTAAACTGTTAGGACCATAACCCCCAAAATCGATCCCAATCTTCCTTTTGTGGTTGTAAACCTTGTGTTTAAATTTCATAGATTTCTATTTACCTATATTAAAGTTACTGTCCAGAAACCAAATTTCTTCGGACGACGTGGACAACATGATACCAATATATGACCGCAAAAGACCGCAAAATTTTTTGCGGTCTTATAGTAAGGAGATGTGATATGATTGCTAATGTGACAACTATATATGTAGTATTTGTTTGAGCATCCAGAATCTATTTTTCTGCACTCATCATAGATAACACAAGAGCAATTTGTAATAGAGTAAAATTTATAAAAACATGTTTTAGTTTCATGGTAATAGCCATATGTTTTTTGCATGAAGACATTTATTATACTGATTAAATTACTAGGCAATCTATACAACCAGTTTTGAGAATACCTTTGGCAGTTTAATCTAATGGTAAGTAAGATATCTTATAAAATTGAGAATGGAATTGGGGAATATGAAAAAGATACAACAACCAGACCAAAGAGCAGACAACAGCCGAAGGCCACCAATGGGTCTTCAACGCAGCGAAAAAAATCCCTCACCCATAGGTAGTCCTCAGCTGGCCCCTAAATAAAATTGTGTACTAGTTCAGTGAAAATGGATGTCACACTAAACTCCAAAAGATATAAATGAACAAAAACTAAAAAAACATAAAAGAAAGCTGATTTTTATCGTTTTTTTTACTCTTCATCCAAAGTTTTGTCATATACAAGAGCTCTTTCAACTACAAAATAGAATTGAACACTTCCAAGAACTCTTTCATGATTTTAATTTAATTTCATACCACACAAATGCACATGTTTTACCTTCAGAGTCTGTCATTACAAAGGTTTCATTTTTTTTCCCATCACCCTTTCCATTCACTGCTGCAATCCACACTTCATAATTGATATATGGAGAAAGACCATCAATCGTTGTAATAACCTTTGAGTTTGCATCAACAGCATTAATATCCAGCTTCTTATGGACTTCACAGCTTTTTTGCGGAATAGTTTGCTGAAAAACACATTTTACAAAACAACATTTGAATATTGATTAGCAGGACAATATTACTATGCAGACACATAATGACCCCTGTAGCTCATTACACATTGTTATAGTTTGAAAGTAAAAATTGGTCAAATTTTATCACAAATATAAGAAGGTAACTATAACAGAACAGGTTTTGAATATTAAGCATTTTTTTTTAAAATTTCATGTAAATCGAGCTTATACGCGTAATTCACGTGAAATGTTTTACGTGAAATTCATGTGAAAATTTAACGTGAAATTAATGTGAAATTCATGTAAAATTCACGTGAAATTCATGTGAAATTCACGTGAGCAAAATTTGGCTGTGTATAATATCATCTGCAGACACAAAAGGAGGCATACAAGAAGTTCTAAGATTATAATTATATAATACAAAATAATAAATGTCTCTGGCAAATAATGTCAAATCAATTCATGGGGCTTGCATAGTAAAGCTCAGTTTTCCAATGGTTATAAAAATAAGGAAATGTGGTATGAATGTCAATGAGACAACTATCTACTAAAGTTCAAATGAAGTGGATGTAAGCAGAAATAGGCAACCATAAAATCTTCAAGACTGAGAAAAACTCATACTGTATAGTCGACTATAAAAGGCCTAGACATGAATCGGTTAAATAAACGTTTTAGGGATCAAATCTGTCAATGTTAAATTAAAGATGACATGAATATGGAATCTTCTGAGGTTCAATTATTGACTTGCAAGTCATTTATACACGAGATCTTTTTGAGCTTATTTTGAAAAATTTCAGAAACTTACTGCTTATAAAGGCATATCATTTTAAAATTATGCTTGTAAAGATACTTGAAACAAAAAGGGTTGTTAATTAAATTTTTGTCTTAATCAATGTTGACCTATTTATCGTAAAAGACATAATATTGGAATTCAAGAGAGTGTAGAAGTACACATATTTTGTTCAGGTAGGTCGGCAGAAATCCTGAAGTCAATAATGAAAGAAATATATTTATGAGATTAGAACCTGATGTAATATGAAACCATAAAATCTTGTGGTTACTCATGATCAAATAACTTTCTAGAAAACAACATTCAAACGGTTGTTGTCTTGTAATATCATGAATATAGGCATGGTTGTTGGAAGAATGATCATGAAATTCAAACTTGACCTTCTTTCGGTCAAATATCTAAATTTGAAAAAATTTCTTCAAAGCATTTTCGAGTTATTGAACGAACAACACTCTAAATATCACTTTTCACTACTAACAGGTCTACAACTCAAGAACAATAAAAGTTGAATTCTGTAATTCAGTGGTTGTCGTTTGTTTATGTGTTACATATTTGTTTTTCATTCATTTTTTTTACATAAATAAGGCCGTTAGTTTTCTCGTTTGAATTGTTTTACATTGTCATTTTGTGGCCTTTTATAGCTGACTATGCGGTATGGGCTTTGCTCATTGTTCAAGGCCGTACGGTGACCTATAGTTGTTAATATCTGTGTCATTTTGGTCTCTAGTGGAGAGTTGTCTCATTGGCAATCATACCACATTTTTTTTTTATATGAAATTGAGAAAATCAACCCGCTGTACATCACCAAATGAATAATCAATATTTTCCTTTTGAAATCTTTATGGTTAATAAAATGCTTTACAGTATAGGCATTAGCCATTGTTTAAATTCTTTCATTATTTTATGCAGAATTTATGCATTTTTCCATCAATATATATTCATTGTGGTCATTTTCTTGGTTGTGCAATACTAATATATATATTTCCAAGTTGATGTATAAACAAGTAAAATTAAGAAATTTCACAAAATATTCAACAGTTGTGGTCTGTTGACATCATAACAGTCCTGGTTTAATATGAAATAAGCTTTCATTTTTGGAACACCCTGTACCTTAGTGTAGCTTGGACAAATTTAGGAACATGTATGATAATTTTTTAATTTGCACTAATATTTAGGCCAAATAAGGGCATAAATGCCCCTACTCCTTAATCAACTTACTGCTCCATCACAATCTGTGCACTGATAAACTACTTCCACTTTGCATTCACCTTCTACCCTTAAGCTGACACGGTATCCATATAAAACTCCCTTAACGTCGACTGGTGTCATCCATGATAGTTTTATACTTCTACTTTTAACTTCAGTGAAAGTGACATTCTGTGGAAATTCAGCAACTAAAATAGAAAAACAACAGGTGTTATTCAACAACAATGTTTTTTTACAGTTATGGCATTGTCAAAGGTTAATATATTTTAGGTTCAGAAATTAATGTTAGGAGTTTGACTCTAAGATAATTCAATTTGATGTTTAAAGAAACTAAGAAATGTGTCCTAAGTACACCATGGCCAATTAATAATTAACTTGCATAGTTTCATATTTCTATGTTCAGTCAACTGTGAAATCTTTGTCAAAACTCTGATTTGAATCATTATGTACTAAAAAGACTTCCCTTAACAAAAAGTATTAAGTATCAAATTGATATCACCAAAATTATTTTAAATTTTAACATTCCTTAAACCAAAACTTTAACCTAAAACATTTCAATGTTCAGTAAACCGTGAATTCTAGGTCCCCTTCTGGCCCAAGAACACAGTTATTTCGTAGTGCATTTCTTTTAGACAATAAATAGAAATTCAAAAAATCCCACCTCAGCTTTCTCAATAATATTTCTACAGTGTGGTGTAATACTTTTGGGACAAATTATATCAAAATTATAGAAAACTTCATCAGCTCTAACTTAAAATATGGACAATTTTGTGTTATGGGGGTCTTGAATTCTTTAGATAGCTTCCGATTTACTAATTTTTAACCTTTTTTACCTGGACCAAATCACTACTTTACTTTAAAATAAATGACCCAAATTTTTTTACAGTGTAGTTTCATCCCCCTACTTGCTATTTGAGGCATAAAACATGACGAAATAAATTTGGAAAGGGTATAAAAAAAAATGGCAAGTAACACACTGTCCACACTAGGGACTATATTTGTAGACAACAGAAATCAAGGGACGGTAACTGTGTTCCCGGACCTAATAGGATAGAAAGACTTAATCAATCTAATAAAACTTAGTATGACCAAAGCTTAATGAATTTTGAGACTGTTGACCAAGTTTCATGGCAAGAGGATATATATTATGGACAATATGATAAATTTCATGTTCAACTTTGCATGTTAAATTTTGACGTTAAAATTGAAGAATTTCAACTATCAACATTTGGAGCCTTAAAAATTCAAATATTGTAAACAATTACTTTTTAAATGCCCTAATGTTTAACATAACATGTATTTGAAGCAATATAAAACTCATTTAATGTATCAAATTTATTACAATTATTCCAAAGTCAAATTTATATGAGCCTGTGCCGGAAAAGAGATGTTTTCGAAAGAAATCAATGACCCAAATTTTTTACAGTGTAGTTTCATCCCCCTACTTGCTATTTGAGGCATAAAACATGACGAAAGAAATTTGAAAAGGGTATAAAAAAAATGACAAGTAACACACTGTCCACACTAGGGACTATATTAGCAGACAACGAAAAAAACAAAGGGAAGATAACTGTGTTCCCGGACCTAATTTTTCAAGTTGACGAGAACACAAGCTACCTTAAGCCAAAATTTTAACCTGAAACAGAACAGACAGACTTACAAAGGCACTAATGGACTGACAGAAGCACAAACCAGATGACATGATGCTCCTCTACTTTTTGTGATTCTTTGTTACATATTTGTTTGTTTTTATAGTGATTAAGATTATAACACAATGTTGACTGCTGTACCCCTTTTTTTGACATTTTTACCTATTATGTCTGTTTGTTTTGTTTACACATCATTGTCAATATAATGGAATTTTATGCGACTATCATACAAGTGAGAGGTTTAGCTAGCTATAAAACCAGGTTTAATCCACCATTTTCTACATAAGGAAATGCCTGTACCAAGTCAGGAATGTGACAGTTGTTATCCATTCGTTTGATGTGTTTGAGCTTTTGATTTTGCCATTTGATTACAGACTTTCCATTTTAGATTTTCCTAGGAGTTTTACTTCATCATGAGGTATTTTTGTTATTTTACTTTCTACTATTGCAGATAAACGGGGCATGCAAATTAATTGCTTTAAAAAGAGAATTAAAAGATGATTTTTTTTAATATTAGTATAGTAACATTCTACTATTGCAGATAGACGGGGCATGCAAATTAATTGCTTTAAAAAGAGAATTAAAAGATGATTTTTTTCAATATTAGCATAGTAACAAACTATCATCCAGATCTATCAGAATGTCAGGTATATTGTGAGAAAAAAACTTTGAACATTTTGCCAGCAACGCATATATACACTTAATAAACAGCTTTTATCTTTTCAGATACAACTATTATGCTTTTTAGAAGTAAATTTTCTCTAATTAGCTTAAACATTACCTCCAGCCCGTGTTAAACAGCACTTCTGTGGAGATTGTTGACTTTTATTACTTTGAGGTGAAACAGCATCATTGATAGTCTCCATCTGAAAGCAATAGTATTGTTCTGAAAGTAAAACAAAATAATGCCAAATGAGTGTTTTATGTTAAAAAATAGATGTTTTTTTGTACGCTCCCCCAATTCGCCGAAAGGAATTTAGAAAAAAACTTTTTTGTCACTTGTTGAAACATCTAGTGAAACTCCAATAATTTCAAAGCGTGTGTGACTGGTTTCAAGTCACCATCAAGTGTAATGAGTGTTAAAATAAGCCAAAACTACATGAAAAACAATTGTAAAAGTTGTGTTTGTCATTAACTGGAAATCTGAATAGCACGTGTAAATCACAAATAAACACAGCGAGTAAGTTGTGTAAGAACCTTCTTGCAGATGAAAATTTTTTAAATGCCATGATCATGATTTTCACAATTCTGACATACAGAATTCAAATGTTCCAAACAAGTTTAATTATAGAATAGCTAATCAAAGAATTCAAATATAGAAAAACATTCAATGAGTGACCGAACAACACATTAATTCACGAATGCGCGTAGCATGAGTTAATTATAAGTGTTGTTCCGTCACGAGTTGAATATTTTTCGATATTTGAATTCTTTGATTAGTTATTCTTTTTATTACATTGACAATGGGCTTTTTAATAGAATTAAAGTAGAAAATGTAAGGAAGTATATCTCTTTTTAAGCATTCACAATTTGTTTTGATGCGACGTAATCGATGACGTCTGGACAACACCTAATGTTGTATGACGTCAGAGGAGTGAAATAACCGAGTTTATTTCACATGTGAAATTATCGGTTTTTATTCCACTGGGAAATCACAGTAATAGATTGCAACCAATGTAATAATGCCCAATAATCAGGAGAAACAACAATTTTGATTGGCTGATCACAATTGTCTCTCTTGGGAAAAGCTCAAAATCAGGAACAATAATTTTTTTGGGTGTAGAATTTCACAAAATCGTGCAATTTTGACAAGGGGTCAAAATTGTGTGGTTCACGTCTAAATTGTGAATAGTTCCATCCTTTAATAAAATACTGTCAGATATATTCATAACATTAATGTTTGAATGATGTTTAGCCAAAACAAAACATATGCAGCAGTTTGAAACACCAAAATGAAACGAATAACTGATAACATTTTGTACTGTCATGCATAAGCTAGTTCTCAGCTGACTTCTTCACTTTTTTTGTTACGTTATTAACAAGCAGATCCAGTTTCAGTTATGCAATGCTATGAAAAGATATGTGAAATTTGTAATGAAGCATTTGATTTTGATACTTATCAGTTAATATAGGATTTTAAAATAAAATTTCATATTAATATGGATTAGGTAAATCATTAGTTTTGAAAAGAATAACTAAAGAACTATGAAGGTGACGTTACCCAAATTTGAACTTGATCTGAGTTTTGTGGTAATAAGTATTGTGTATAAGTTTCATAAAATTTGGTTGAGGTGAACTTTAGAGAAAGGAAATGAAAAATTCAGCAATTTTTCCATTTGTAAAGCAGCATAACTCTAGAACAATTAAAGTGACACCCCCGAAATTCAAACTTGATCTGTATTTTTTGGTATTGAACAATGTGTATAATTTTCATAGCATTTGGTTGAGGCAAACTAAATTTAGAGAACGGAAACAAAAAATTCAGCAATATTTTCATTTTTAAAGGGGCATAACTCTAAAACGGTTGAAGTGACGCCACCAAAATTCAAATTGGATCTGTGTTTTGTGGTAATAAGCATTGTGTATAAGTTCCATAACATTTGGTTGAGGCAAACTAAAGTTAGAGAATGGAAACCAACTTCGGGACGTATGTACAGACGGACAAGGGTAAACTTAATGCCCCCTCCGCTATGGCGGGGGCATAAAAAAGGGTGCCCTTTACAATTTCAATAACAAACATGGCGCAATGTAAACAAACATCGTGAAATCAAGTTTTTCTCCTATTTCTTGCTTATAGTACTCTATAATCCGCACCAATTCCTGGCAATATTAATTATGGAGAAAAAACTGTGGACAATCAGTATATATTACAAGAAACTTACGTGGCAATAAATTCTCAATTGTTTGAACCTCTGTACTTGAATCTGTAATAATTGTTCTTGTAGCTGCATAACTCATATATATAATATAATGTGAAATATCACCATTTGGTATTTGTGGTTCTTTCCATCTTAAATTCATGCTGTTTTCATATAGATCCTGGTTGTCACAAGTATTAATGACAGGAGGATTTGGTCCTGAAATGAATATTTATTCCAATTATTATTTATTTCAATTGGTAATTCTAAATGAACAGCCTTTGTATTTATGTTATAAACATGTCTCACATGTTAGCATTGAATTAATACAATGGGACCATGAAAGTGAAACAATAGTCTGATTTCAAGAAGAACAAGCATTCTGAGAGTATTGCATGGCCTACCGGTTAAAAATTAATTGTACTGGAACAAAATTCTAACTTGATCTATAACTTGTCATGGTGTAAACTATATAACAAATATCAAGTCAATATCTTCAAGCATGGCGGAAAAAAGTGTGGAAAACTGATTATTTAAGTGAATTTTCTAAGCCCAAGGACCATAACTGAGCACAAAATCATCAGACCGGAACAAAATTCGAACTTGGTCTGTAACTTGTCAAGATAAAACTATATACCAATTATACAATCAATATCTTCAAGCATGACGAAAAAAAGTGAGGAAAACTGATTATTTGAGTGTTTTCTAAGTCCAAGGACCATAACTCTGCACAAAATCATCAGACCAGAACAAAATTCCAACTTGATCTGTAACTTGTCATAATAAAACAATGTACCAATTATTAAATCAATATCTTCAAGCATGAGGAAAAAAAGTACAGAAAACTGAATATTTGAGTGAATTTTCTAAGTCCAAGGACCATAACTCTGCACAAAATTATCAGACCGGAACAAAATTCAAACTTGATCTGTAACTTGTCATGATAAAACAATATACCAAATATTAAATCAATATCTTCAAGCACGAGGATAAAAAGTGTGGAAAACTGATTTGCCGGACTGACAGATGGACAGATGGACAGACAGACAGACAGACAGACGGAGTGCAAATCTAAAGTCCCCTTCGACTTCGTCGGTAGGGGACTAACAAGCAGAATGTTTAGGAATGATCAATATATATATATATATATGATAACTCATTGCAATAATCACAGCAACTATAATGACCTTCAGCACAAATAAAGGTTGAATCTTGCACTTCTCTCCCTTAAAAATTGTAAATGATCAAATGATCAGAATTAGTCTTTCATATCTATAGTCATTATCACTGGGTCAATGCCACTACTGGTGTTCTAGAAGTCATGGAGAATATCACAAGCACTGTAGTTTTGTACTTGAATGATATCACTTTGCTAATACCTCCACCCTGAAAACTTTCAATATACAAAAACGGTAAAATATATTACAATGTAATAATTACATTATAGGCATGTTTCATTAGAGTCTGTAATTTTGATTGGCTACCAACAATTGCAAGGCACTCCAATATACTATATTCTATTTCTGTATAAAATGCAACAACTATGAATGCATATAATTTCAGTGACAATGTGAACAAATAATACATAGAAAAACAAACTAAAAGCTTGATATAACTCTTAATTTCATGGTTGTAGCACAACAATTTAATTATAAGTATTGAATGCTTCATTCTATAATTTAATAGGGTTGTAAAACCTTTGATCATGTGCACATATTTAGGATGAGGCGAATTTTACAAAATGTGCTTTGTCAATACTTTTTTTGTTATTTGGGGTTTATTAAATGCTCTTTAATTAACAGCTGATTGTATTGGATTTTCAATATTTGATTTCAACCAACAATGGCAAAAAAATCTGTTTTTCAAAATATGCATTTGGTGCATCAAATATTTGGTATATTGCTATTTCTATATTACAAATTTACTTTAAGCATTGGACATAAATATTTACATATATGTTTTTAAACTTTTGTCTACTCAGGAACAAAGTTAGCAAAATATATAAATATGAAACTCACCACTCACCAATTAAAATAATGTTTTTTTTAAATTTATTTCAATTAATTTTAATCTTGATATTGCTGAAACTACAGCTATTTTTTTACACTAGAATATATAAGTTCTCTCCCTATGTAAAATGTCTGTCAAAAGTTTTAAAACACCTTTATTGAATTCAGTTTCAATGTTTAGGTACATTTCTTTTTAAAGTAGAAAAGCCCTAAATAAAAATATTAAATAACATACGTGTGGATGTTGTCCTGATGGTTGCTGTAAATTCTGCACTGGTAAATCCATTACTATAAGCTTTCACTGTTATAACATATCTCTCACCATTCTTCACGGTATTAAACTGCTGTTGTGGAGTCTGTGATGGGGGGATGTTTGTAATGTTAAATGTTTTAGGTGTCACCGATGTACCATTAATAGTACCACTTAGATGCTGTATGATACCAACAACAGTCCAGGAAACAGTTATTGATGGTCCCAAAATAACATTAGTTATAATTGCACTTGGCACTGCAGGTCCTACAAAAGTAAATAAGATATGTTAATATCAAGTGTTCATCAATTAATTCTCATATCAGTCACTTCAATAGAATGGGGTCTCCTGAAACATCTTATACACTGGCAGTTTCACTAAAATAAGATTTGATTGATTATTGTTACTAAGGAACCTACCATTTTACAATTTATGGCACTCCTGTGTAAGATATGGTTCCTAGTAATCTTCTTATTGTCTTGTCATTTATTACATTCCAAGATGTACTTTAATCATGTGAACTGTCAAATTCCTGTAATTAACTTGCTTAGATAAGGACTTGAACATAAAATCTGATTTAAGTCAATTGTTTTTACTGTAAATTCACAAGTTGTTTTTTTTATTACTGTTGATAATGAGACTCAGTGGGATTTGCAATGATAAGAACTCACATTCTGATATATGAATATACTTATCTGTATCAGGATCTTCCTGAAATAGCAATAACAAGTGAAACTGCAAACTACTGCTCACTGATGATACCCCTGACCAAATATGCATTTGGAATATTTCAACCATAAAAATTACTTGAAAAATATTCATGGGACGGATAAACAGATTGAAGGATGGATGGACAGACATAGGTAAAACATTTTATCTTACCTCCAATACATTAATATTTCTAGGAATATGATTGTTTAAAAGCGTGTGCGTGGAGACCGTGTATATTCCATATTAGGTTAGTAGGGAGGCAGGGCTTATTTCAATACAAGGTTAGTAGTGGTGTTACGTCCCTTTATAAAAACAAAACAGTACTGAAAAAAATCTTACAGGTTTCAACAGACAAAGAAATTGATGATGAAGATTGAAATAAATTCATAAAACACATTTAAAGCTAACAAGTTGTTATTGTTGGAATATGTTTCTGTAGGATCAATGGAAGTAGTTTCTTAATGCTAATGGTATTGAAAACTTGCTCATTTTGATAGGTCACTAGTCTAAATATTACACATTAAGATAGTTGGTAAGATAAATTCGCTACATAGTGTGCTAGTGACGTAATACGGTATATATATGGGGTCAGTTAATTCCATATCGGGATTCGAGCTTCGCTCTCACCCCATATGGAATTTACTGACCCCATATATACCGTATTAGGTCACTAGCACACTATGTAACTAATAATACCCCCACTTCTTTAATGCGGGGGTATAATATAAAAAATTCGTGTTTATGCCTGCTTTAAAAAATCGCAATAATAAATGCATGCATTATTTTCTGATTTTAAAGTACTGTATGTCAATCAAGGGTACTAAATTTTTTGCATGGACTTTATCAAGATATATCTAACATCATGTCAATTGAATTGATATGATCCCTCACGGCAAGTAGCATAAAATAGTCATTAATTTGGCTTAGCCAATCATTCTTGCTTAAAATGAAAGTTGAGATGACCAAATGTTATGCATTATGAGAATTATGTAGTATCCAGATATATTGAAATTTATTCTGAGACTTTGAAGTGCCATTCTGGTATAAAGTTTAAAACATACTAGCTGCAATTGATTGCTGTATCAATTTGTTTTAAATATTGATTTGTACTTACTTGTACCAGCTTGTAGGACAACACTAGTAGTCTGAGCCCCAGGTCGACTAGCAGTCTCTACCGATATGACCTCAACTATATAAGTATGACCTGGCTGTCTGTTGGTCATATTATACTGATTCTCAGTCTTATCAATATTAATAAGATTTTCTGCAGTTCCACTGTTTACAGTTATTTTAATTTGATATTTGTTAATGAAGGCAACAGTATTAGGTATAGTCCATGTGATCTTAAAGTAAACCTCTCCAGTTGTGTCCCTTGGAACTTCTAAATTTTGTACTTGCAGCCCAGTCACTGAAAAAAAAGAACAAATTTTAAAAAATTTTTACATGGATGATCTTAGTTTCTAGGTCTCACATTCACAGATTACCTTGCCGGTTCCCCTATGGATTAAATATCACGGATGATCCTGAAAATGCAGTTTCATAAGTCAGATACGGGTCCAATACAGATACAAAATGGTGTACGTATCTACCAAGGGTCATGTAGGAAAGGTTTTTTTTGTCAACATTAGTGATATAGATTCTTAAGGTATGACAGGGTTTATTGCGGAAATGACAAGATTTAGTACGTAACCGGCATAAAACAAACTTAACCTGGAGAACTTAATATTGACCAATGATCTATGAAAAGGAGGTTAGGGTCAGATGATAACTGCTAGACAGTTATATATACACCTTCCCATCATTTCTTACACCAAATACAGTTGACAAATTTGCTTATAGTAAAACATAAACAGACCAAAGCACAAATATATTGAGCAATGAACAACAAACTGAAATCTAGGTGAAATTAAACCTGGCAGACTGATATGAACATCATAAAAAATTGCCATACACAAAATATAGTTGACCTATAGCATACAGTATTAGAAAAACAAACTAAAACAGATAAAATGCTCCGCTGGGCGCAGTTTGATACGACGGCATAGGTCGAACCCTGAACAGTTGGGGCAAGTATGGACACAACATTCAAGCTTGATACAGCACTGAATTTGGATTGTGATTAAATATTTGACACAGCATAGGTTTCTGACACAGAATGAATGTGGTCTAAGAACTTAAAATTTTTTTAATTTACCTATTCAAACCACATCATTATTATTTGCTTTTATATATAAATCAGAAATAACCAATTTAAAATGGAAAATTTTAAAGAAAAAAAAAAATCCCTCCCCCAAATTTGTTTAACCCCCTTATGATTCATCACCCAAAACTCTATCCCAGCCTTCCCTTTGTGGTATGGTACCTTGCAGTACAATTTCAGAGAGATCCATACACTTGAACACTAGTTATTGTCTGGAAACTAGAAAAATGCTTGTTTTTAGGCCCCTTTTTGGCCCTAAATTCCTAAACATTTAGGGCAATTACCCCCATACGCAAACCCAGCTTTCCCTTTGTGATATGGAACCTTGTAGTACAATTTCATAAAGATCCATACACTTACACACAAGTTATTGTCCTGAAACTAGAAAAATGCTTGTTTTTTCCCCCTTTCTGGCCCTCAATTCCTAAAATTTTGAGGCAATTACCCCCAAAATCAATCCCAGCCTTCTCTTTGTGGTATGGTACCTTGCAGTACAATTTCAGAGAGATCCATACACTTGAACACAAGTTATTGTCTGGAAACTAGAAAAATGCTTATTTTTGGCCCCTTATTCCTAAACATTTTGGGCAATTACCCCCAAACTCAATTCCAGCTTTCCCTTTGTGATATGGAACCTTGTAGTACAATTTCAGAAACATCCATAGACTTAAACACTAGTTATTATCATGAAACTAGAAAAATGCTTTTTTTTACCCTTTTTTTGCCCCTTATTCCTATAATTTTGAGGCAATTACCCCCAAAATCAATCCCAACATTCCCTTTGTGATATGGAACCTTGTGGTACAATGTCAGAGAGATCCATACACTAACACACATGTTATGTCTGGAAGTTACAAAAATGCTTATTTTTGGCCCCTTTTTGGCCTTTAATTCCTTAACTGTTGGTACCATAACCCCCAAAATCAATCCCAACCTTCCTTTTGTGGTATTGAACCTTATGGTAAAATTTCATAGAGATCCATTGAGTTAAACTAAAGTTATAGTGCGAAAACCAATGTGTCTTCGGACGACGACGACGACGCCGCCAACGTCATACCAAAATACCACCGCAAATTTTTTTTGCTTTCGTATAAAAAACCTAACTTGAACCACTGAATCATGAAAATGAGGTAAGGTGAGATGACAAATGTACACCTTACACAAAATATAGTAGACCTATTGCTTATAGTATCAGAGATATGGACTTGACTACAAAAACTTAATCTTGTTCACAGATCCAAGAAATGAGGTCAAGGTCAAGTGAAAATGTTTGACAGACATGAGGACATTGAAAGTTACGCACATACCAAATGCAAGTATCCTATTACTGACAATAAGAGAGAAACTTAAATTACAAAAAGTCTCAACTTTTTTTCAAGTAGTTATTGAACCATGAAAATGAGGTCAAGGACAATGAACATATGATAGACAGAATCTTCATAACATAAGGTATCTATACACAATTTATGAATCATTCAGGTCTATTACCTTCTGAAATATTAAGCTTTTAAGTAGTTAGTATATGATGCCGCCACCGCCACCAGATCACTATCTCAAAAGGTCACAGGCTTGACAAAAAACAAAATATAAATAATAGTGATTATTGCCATTTCTAATTTTGATGTAAACATTGACTGGTGCATTTCTGCGGGTGTTAAAGTTTGAAATCTCTTTTAAAATAAACAAAAGCTAACTTACAATCTTTGCATGTCTGAACATCTCTGTAAAAGGTTGCCTTACAAAAGCATTTGTACACTAAACTGTTTTCTGCTTCTACTATACATTCTGAATCTGCTACAGAACATTGGTTAACTGGCTGGCCATTACTACAGACCTCTCCAAGTGCACTTTCTATAAAACAAAACGAGATGGCATGTACAATTGTTGATTGTTTTTTTATCATTTAAAATTTCGCAAAACCATTGTCAAAATAGTAGACATTGAATATTCTAGACTCTCTGAATGGTGAAATATCAAAACGATCTCTCTTAACAAGATCATTCTTCTATATGTTACGTAAAACAAACCATGACAAATGTTAAATTTCATTGATGTTGACACAGGAAACAGTACGCCTTGAATCTCACTTTCATGACAATATTTACAGGTGAGACAAAAAAGTCTCAAATTCATTGATCTAATTATACTCATACAGAAAGTGTGATAGCAGTCAACATATGGATTATATCAAATGTCTCCCTAAGAATTACCTCCTGTAGGGCATTATAGTATATCAAACTTATTTATGATTCAAAGTTTATACTAAATACCTACTTGTTACACAAACATTTGTCGTGTTGGCATAAAAATCATTTTTACACAGACATTTAGTATCTGATGTTCCAGTTTCCATTTTGCATTCAGAATTAACATCTTCACACTGGTAGTTTGACTGTCCTGTGTTACAGACAGCATTCAATACAACCTCTGTAATCATATATAAACAATAAAATAGTACAAACACAAATCTTTGTTATCAATTCAAACAAAAACATATACCACACAAAATTGTTCATATTTGAAAGAATTGCCTGTATAAAATAAAATGCTGGTAGCAAGATATGTCTCCTCTGTGAGCAGAACATTCAGAAAAAGTCTTTCTGGTGCACAAAAACATTGCTAATTAATACAATGGTTTACAAACTAAGATGTTATAAAAGTAATGCTACTTCATTACAGAAAAAAATCATTGATCTATCACAAGTGGTTATCATTGGCTTTAATTTGAACTAGCTGTCAGAATAAGCGAGTACTCTATGATCTTTACTGAGTGTCTTTTTGTTGTTGGGATGTACAATACTTAGTACCCTATCACGTCCATGTGTTTTTGTTATATGTATTTCTATTTGTATCCATCTGATGAGTAAAACCTTTTTCAACTGATTTTTATAGTTCGTTCTTATGTTGTCCTGTTACACCACTGTCCCAGGTTAGGAATGGGGGGTGGGATCGATCCCATGACAAACATCTGTTTTGCTGATCTTGTATATAATACTGATCATTTAATTTAGTCTGTTTAGTTTCTCTCTATCTTCTTTAGTTTTTGCTCAAGGGCAATAACTTCTATAAAGAGTGACTGTCTACTTGCTATATCGGCAAAATTTGACTTGTTAGTAGATCTTGCCTTCCCAATAATATTTGTGATTTAAAGTGTCTGTTTTTTTATCATTTGAGGCAAAACAAAACAAAATGGTAATAAACTGGGATATGTCTTGCTTTTTTGTAATTTCGATAATGCACATTTGGAAATTACAATAGCAACACTTTAACATGTAAGTTTTGCAAATATTGTCAATGAACCATGACTGAAGGTACATGTCTAAACAATCTCCATGGAAATGAGATGTGTCAATGTGAATACAACTGCATACCAAATACCATTGACTTATTATAAGTAGTTCCTTTTAAAGAAACCTAAACACAAACTAATACATGTACATGTAAACTAAGCAAAATTTCAAAGTCAAAAAACCATAACTGACGGGGCGGTGTCAAATATCTCCATGGTAAAATGATGTGCCAATGCTAATACAACTGCATACCAAATATCATTGACCTACCACTAGTGGTTCCCCATAAACCAACCTAATCACAAACTAATACATGTGAAAGAAGCAAAGTTTCAAAGTCAATAGACCATGACTGAGGGGACGGGGCCAAATAATCTCCACGGTAATGAGATGTGCCAATCCTAATACAACTGCATACCAAATATCATTGACCTACCACTAGTGGTTCACCATAAACTAGTTCAATCACAAACTAATACATTGTTGACGCTGCCGCTGCCGGAAACCGCATACCTATGTCTCTCTTTTTGACTCGGTCAAGTTAGACAAAAATCATCATTAAAGGGCAATAACTCCAATAAGGAGTCATCGGACAACTTCCTCTATATTGTCTTAATTGTAGATTTTGTCTGCATTATAATTTTTGCTTAATTAAATTTCTATCTATCTATTATATTTTTACCTCACATGGCCCAAAGGGCCAAGTGAGCTTTTCTCATCACTTGGCGTCCGTCGTCGTCGCTATCCGTCCTCGTTAACTTTTACAAAAATCTTCTCCTCTGAAACTACTGGGCCAAATTTAACCAAACTTGGCCACAATCATCATAGGGGTATCTAGTTTAAAAAATGTGTCCCATGACCCAGCCAACCAACCAAGATGGCCACCATGGCTAAAAATAGAACATAGGGGTAAAATGCAGATTTTGGCTTATATCTCTGAAATCAAAGCATTTAGAGCAAATCTGACTGGGTTAAAATGTTGATCAGGTCAAGATCTATCTGTCCTGAAATTTTCAGACAAATCAGACAACCCGTTGTTGGGTTGCTGCCCCTGAATTGGTAATTTTAAGGAATTTGGCAGTTTTTGGTTATTATCTTGAATATTATTATAGATAGAGATAAACTGTAAGCAGCAATAATGTTCAGCAAAGTAAGATCTACAAATAAGTCAACATGACCAAAATGGTCAATTGACCCCTTAAGGAGTTATTATCCTTTAAAGTAAATTTTTAACAATTTTTTGTAAATTTTTGTAATCTTACAAAAATCTTCTTCTCTGAAACTACTGAGACAAATTTAACCAAACTTGTTCACAATCATTATTAGGGTATTAAGTTTAAAAAATTTGTCCAATGAACCCACCTGCCAACCAACATGGCAAACATAGCTAAAAATAGAACAAAGAGGTAAAATGCAGTTTTTGGCTTTATATCTCTGAAACAAAAGCATTTAGAGCAAATTTGATGTAGTTAAAAATGTTCATCAGGTTAAGATATAACTGTCCTGAAATTTTCAGACAATCAGACAAACTGTTGTTAGTATGCTGCCCCTGAATTAGTAATTTTAAGGAAATTTTGTTGTTTTTGGTTATTATTTTGAATATTATTATAGATACAGATAAAATGCTCCGCTGGGCGCAGCTTGATACGACCGCAGAAGTCGAACCCTGAACAGTTGGGGCAAGTATGGACACAACATTCTAGCTTGATACAGCACTGAATTTGGATTGTGACTAAATATTTGACACAGCATAGGTTTCTGACACAGAATGAATGTGGTCTTAGAACTTAAAATTTTTTAATTTACCTATTCAAACCATATCATTATTATTTGCTTTTATATATATTTCAGAAATACCAATTTAAAATGGAAAATTTGAAAGAACAAAAAAGGAAAAAAAATCCCCCCCCCCCAAATTTTTTGAACCCCCTTATGATTCATCATCCCCAAACTCAATCCCAGCCTTCCCTTTGTGGTATGATACCTTGCAGTACAATCTTTAGAGAGATCCATACACTACTTGAACACAAGTTATTGTCTGGAAACTAGAAAAATGCTTGTTTTTTGGCCCCTTTTTTGCCCCAAATTCCTAAACAATTAGGGCAATTACCCCCAAACTCAAACCCAGATTTCCCTTTGTGATATGGAACCTTGTAGTACAATTTCAGAAAGATCCATAGACCTACACACAAGTAATTATCATGAAACTAGAAAAATGCGTTTTTCCCCCCTTTTTGGCCCCTAATTCCTAAAATTTTGAGGCAATTACCCCCATAATCAATCCAAGCATTCCCTTTGTGATATGGAACCTTGCAGTACAATTTCAGAGAGATCCATACACTTGAACACAAGTCATTGTCTGGAAACTAGAAAAACGCTTATTTTTGGCCCCTTATTCCTAAATGTTTTGGGCAATTACCCCCAAACTCAATTCCAGCTTTTCCTTTGTGATATGGAACCTTGTAGTACAATTTCAGAATGATCCATAGACTTACACACAAGTTATTGTCATGAAACTAGAAAAATGCTTGTTTTTGCCCCTTTTTTGGCCCCTTATTCCTAAAATTTTGAGGCAATTACCCCAAAAATCAATCCAAGCATTCCCTTTGTGATATGGAACCTTGTGGTACAATGTCAGAGAGATCCATACACTAACACACAAGTTATGTCTGGAAGTTACAAAAATGCTTATTTTTGGCCCCTTTTTGGCCCCTAATTCCTTAACTGTTGGTACCATAACCCCCAAAATCAATCCCAACCTTCCTTTTGTGGTATTGAACCTTATGGTAAAATTTCATAGAGATCCATTAACTTAAACTAAAGTAAGAGTGCGAAAACCAATGTGTCTTTGGACGACGACGATGACAACAACGTCATACCAATATACGAACGCAAAATTTTTTTGCGGTCGTATAATAATTTGTAAACAGCAATAATGTTCAGCAAAGTAAGATCTACAAATAAGTCAACATGACCAAAATGGTCAATTGACCCCATAAGGATTTATTGCCCTTTAAAGTCAAATTTAACACCTTTCGTAATTATTTGTAATCTTTTACAAAAGTCTTCACCTGAAACAACTGAGACAAATTGAACCAAACTTGGCCACAAATAAGCATTAGGGTATTTAGTTTTTAAAATGTGTCTGATGACCCTGCCTGCCAACCAACATTGCAGGCATGGCTAAAAATAGAACATACAGGAAAAATGCAGTTTTTGACTTGTATCTCTGAAACTAGAGCAAAAGTATAATGGTTGCATTATTTCATGCATCAATTGTAAATAAAAATATCATTTGAGCGACACAGGCTCCTTGGAGCCTCTAGTTTAGGATAAAAAGCAAAAACCCCAAAAATTAGTAAAAATAGTCATGAAAGGGCAAACACTGTAATAATCAGTTGACTGGTGATTTTGACAATGTAGACTTATTTGCAAAACTTTTCTTGCAGATCAACTTGGCAAAGTATAGTTTCCATCTATCTACAATTGTTTTCAAGATAAAAGGCAAAAATAAAAAAGAATTAGTCAAAATTTGTCATTTCAGGGCAATAAGTCAACGAAGTTGTCAGACAGTTTTAACATATATATTAAACAATTGGTAGAGCTTAACATTTTGAAAGTTTTAGCTCATGTCAGATGTTCTCTATTTATAATGGGTTTCAAAATAATAGACGAAACTTGCATTTTTCCCATATGTTCTATTTTTAGGGATGTCAACCATTTTGGTTGGCAGGCTGGCCATGGGTCATCGGAAGCAAGTTTGGCTAAATTTGGCCCAGTAGTTTCAAAAAAGAGATTTTTGGAAAAGTTAACAACGATAGATCACACAAAATTGGAAATTAGATTGGAGTTAAGTGCACCTGCCCTGTGTGGGATTTGAACTTACAACCTAGGTGTTGACAGGCTAGTAATACAATAGTTGAACTACTTAGATCACTCTGCCAAGGCGGTCCCCTTATAAGTATTGAATAGAACACTTCATATGTATAATGAACATCTATATACTCAGTTTCAAGTTGATTTGACCATGAACTTTCCTTAAACTAAAACTGTAACCTGAAATAGGACAAACAGATTAATGTTGACAGACAATCAGACTGGAAAACATAAGGTCTCTCCACTATTATAGGTGGCACATAAAAAACTTCAATTTATTTGAAGACATTTAATACACTTTGTGGAGATGGTGGACTTAAAGTGGGTGGGGCAAAATTTTGTTATTTGATCAAGTAGTTTACCATGGTGCATAAGCATGGCTGCCTGTTAAAACTTACTTTCAGTACAAACATTTCCACTGTTTTCAAAATATCCACTTTGACAATAACATTTCAAAGATGAAGTACATTCTGCCTTCGAATCTGAACATTGATCTGATGGCTGACCGGCACTACAAGTGGCATTCAGAGTTACCTCTGAAAAGGAATTGTTGATATCAAAAATATATCTTAAAATACTAATTAAAAAATCAAAATCCAATTGATACCACCAGATCTAGTGTTGTTTTTACAAATTATTGGTCCCTCCAAAGCCTTCTATCGGGCTTCAAAAAATATTTACAAAATGCCAATACTTCGAAAAAAACAATGAAAGTCATTTGGCTGTGATGCAAACATTGATTTTTTAGTGATGATATAACCTCTAATCCAGAAAACTTACTCTCTAAGGTTGTTAATTCATGTGTCATAATAATTTGCAGATAAAAATTATATCAATGATTTCAACAACAGGTCAGAAAGTTTGTAAAGGTAACTTACAAATTAAACATGTTTAATAGTGTATAAATGATCTTTACTCTACTTATGCATACTCGATACAATACCTAGCTCAATATTTATCTTTATTATATACTTAGTAGTAAATACAGATAAATTGTATGTGTAATGCAATCATTGGCAAGTGTGCTGTATCAGCCACCCCTGATGATATCAATATCAGCACGGTTGCAAAGGCTTTATCACACCTTTAATCTGTATGACGTCACATCATCGATTTCAGTCATTGTTGCAAAGGCTTTATCAAACCCCTAATCTGTATGATGTCATTTCAAACATTTAATCTGTATGACGTCATGTCACATAAAAAACATCTGCTTGGTGTATGTATATAATAAAGTGTATATGATATGGCTTTTTCAATATCACACACCATATCAACGCTCAACCAATATAATCCCTCGAGCAGAGCTCTTGGGATTATATTGGTGTCTCGAGTTGATACGGATGTGATATTGAAAAAGCCATATGATATTCTCTATTTAATAGTGCTTCAGAAAATGATGTATTACAATCATCGTGATGATATAGATCTAAAAATAACAATATATCTTACTTTTTGTACATACTCCATCTTTGTCTTTGTAAAATGAATCTTTACATAAACACTTCAGACCATTACTTTCTTTACATTCGGCATTCTCATCCTCACACTGATTCTCAGGTCTATTAGCAGTACATACATCTTCCAACTCCACCTCTGCATATTAAAATAAGAAGATTTTATCATAACAATAAACTAAACATTGCACAAAGCTTGACGATATCACCCACCTTGTATCATTTAAAAAAAACATGTCAACATTTTTTTCATAATCTTGCAACAGATATTAGCCCAGCATATTGGGGGAAAGATTCACTTCTTCATTACTCCTTGCAAACAGTGGAAACAAGGTGACAGAAAAAGCCTTAGCTACATAATTCCTGCCAATTTTGGTAAACATTGACTATATAGTTTGGCATGAAAAAAGACAAAATTGTAATTTCTCTACAAAATTTCAAGAAAAGCCATTGGAATGCACCAAATTAAAGCTAGATGTGTTGTAACGACACAAAAGGCTCGCTTGCAAAAAAAGATTGAAGCCATTTGTAGGAGTGGAAATTTGAGAATTTTCTCAGAATTTTCAAAGTCCAAAGCCTGTAATTTTGGCAAAGAATTAGCAGAGCTGAACCAAATGTAAACTTGACGTTTAGAAAAAAAAGTCTGTATAAGTGTTTGTTGTGGAATGATGGAATGACGGAATGACGAATAAGGGTAAAACTATATGGCTCCCATGCACCACTTTGCGGCGGGGCCATAAAAAAAAGCAATATTTGTATTTATAACAATTACTATCACCTGGTTCAGAATATGAACTATATTCTTGTTATAAGTGAAAAATATTTACAATCAGAATAACGAGGTTGTAAATAGATATAAGAAGATGTGGTATGAGTGCCAATGAGACAACTCTCCATCCAAGTCACAATTTGTAAAAGTAAACCATTATAGGTCAAAGTACGGTCTTCAACACGGAGCCTTGGCTCACACCAAACAGCAAGCTATAAAGGGCCCCAAAAATGACGATTGTAAAACCATTCAAACGGGAAAACCAACGCTCTAATCTATATAATCAAAGCATTGTCGATGTTGTGATCCAGCCATATTCATAGCTAGTCTGATATTCTTTCTGACCATATTTTTTCAATATTTTTTTCTCTTTTCATTTCCAATCTTACTGTTAAATTTCTATGTTATTGCCCACAGGTAGGGAATTTCGCAATATTGATGCAAATAATGATATATATATTGATATTTCAATTTTAGACTCTGTCAGATTTTTTTTTTTTTTATAAATATTTGCAATTTAATGGTATTGACATGAATGGAAAGGGAAATCGTTTAAACAAGTAATATATTTTTTTATATGCCATTAATAATAACTGGCTTAATAATTTCCAGAAAGAGGTCTTGGAAATGCACTTTCTCAACAACAAAAATGAAAAAAATAATAACTAATTTTTATCTAAATTGGTGTTCATTCTTCATTAAGAAAAAATACATTTCCTGTATTCAAATTTAAATGTACGAATACCTAATGCTGAGATATTTCCAATTACTGTTAAATGCAGAACAAACAAATAAATTTTATTGCAGAAAATGCTCAGGTAAGAGTAATGCAATTTTGTTTATTGTTTCAACCAAATTTCTGATAATTGTAACTAATTAATTAGATCTTGATTATTGACTTATGTCAGATGATAATGACAATGATTTTACAAGTGAAATAAAATTTGCTTGCATTTTTTATACATATTTTTACATTTTTCGTCTTTTCTTTGAAAAAAAAATCCACCTCTGATTAAACATTCAGCTAGCTAGCAAAATTAACAGAATATTTTAATGTAGTGTAGATTAAAATAAATAATACATTTGTAGGTTTACTATTGAGGTCAAGAATGTGTGTATTCAGTTAGGTGTGTAATAAATTGTGCCTATTTAATTATGTAACAGGCCAGGAGATATTAAATGTGGTGAATTAAGACTGGGGTTGTTTCCAATTAATACTTACACCTTTGAGTGTAATTATTTGAAAATCATGACAGTTTACAACAATACTGACTCTTACTTAAAATTGCCTATGGAAAAAATTAGAGTAATACCATTTCAAAAAAGTGTGGGAATCAACTTAGATAATATTAACCAAAATTTCATAGAACAAAAACTTACACAAGCATAAGATAATAATATAATACTTTCAAAATTGTTATCAACTGATTCAATTGATGTAAAAATACTTTTTCAAATTAATTCATAAATATTAAATCATTATAAATTTTGATTTACAAAGGTATACATATATGCAAGTGTATATCTAAAATAAAAGGGTTGTTCGACCAATCTTTTCTTAATTTAAGGGCAAATAACATGTCAAAAGTTGGCAATTGATGATTAAAATGGTGTAGAAAGTTTCTGCAACTCATAAAAACACATAATTAGTTTCATGACATGTCTTCAACTTAGTATTCTGCACCATCTACAAAAACAGAGTGATCGCATAGATCCAGCATGGCCGAATCAAAAAACGAGAAACTAGAAACACTTATGAACCACATCAACAAACGAAAACTACTGAACATCAGATTCCTGACTAAGGACAGGTGCAAACAAATACAGCAGGTTTAAACGTTTTGATAGGTACCAACCTTCACCCTTATCTGAAACAGTAGTGTAACATCACAACATAGAAAGACAGACTATAAATTATCAATTGAAATGGCTTAACTCAATCAAAAGACATATTAACACAAGTGAACATACACTGAACGAATAAATTTGATCTATGACACAATGTAAATACAAAATCAATAAAATAAGGGGTGAATAAATAAAGGCAACAGTAGTATACCCCTGTGGGATGTTAAACAATTTCAGAAAAACAACAATAAATTTGAACAAAAAGCCGCCAAATAGAATAATGTACACAGGTAAATGAAAATAATTTTGTTGTAAGGTATACAGTTTAAATGGAGAACGGAAATATTCTTTGCAAAATAAATAATTTTGTTGTTCATGGTACGAAAACAGAAGTGAAAATTTATAGTCATACCAATCACTTATGAAAGCTGGTATATATTAAAAATAGAGAGATAAGATATAACCCTAAATAAGTAAACATTAAATAACAAAAAAGCATTACAAATAGTATCAAAAGGTCATATGTCTTTATTTGTTAATACCTTAAAAAATAACATAATTCACAACCTAAGAAAAGACAAGAGTGCACACGTTGAAATGTCTTGCCTGTTTTACTGACTGTGATTGATTTTACGTTGATTGTCCTAACAATAAAGTTTAACTTCAAGTTCATGTATCACATAAACTTAACATTATCAATAAACTGCTTTCGCTAAGCGCAGCTGGATACGCCCGCAGAGGTCAAACCCTGAACAGTTGGGGCAAAAATGGACACAATATTCAAGCTTGATACAGGTCTGAATTTGGATTGTAATTAAATACTTGACATATTAAAGCTTTCTGAATAAATGTAGTCAAAGAACTTGAAATTGGTTATATGAATTGAATTTATATTCAATTAAAGATTTCTTGCTGTTGTGCAATACACTGTGCTGTTGCGCAATACTAAGTAAATCTGTTGTCAGACTATAAAAAAATAAAGTTCAATTTCTTCTCAATGTCATATTTGAAATTTATGAAAATCAATAGGGAGATTACATCAATAGCTATAAATAATTCACCAAAGTTTCATGAGAACTGATGAAAGCATTTTTGAGTTATTGTCGAAAAACTGGAAAATCCCCCCTTTTTTAATGAATAAAACCCTATAACTCAGAAATGTAAAATCTAAAATTTATAAAATTCTAAAGGGAGCTTACATCAACAGATACAAACAATTCACCAAAATTTCTTGCAAGTTGGTGAAAGCATTCTTGAGTTATTGTTGGAAAACTGGAAAATCCCCCCTTTTTTAATGAATAAAACCCCCAAAACTCGGAAACAGTCAATCTGAAATTTATAAAAAACATAAGGGAGCTCACGTCAATAGATATAAACAATTCAATAAAGTTTCATGCATAATGGTTTAAGCGTTTTTGAGTTAATGTCCGACATGTTGACGACGGACGGACGGACAGACGGACGGACGGACGAACGGACAGATGGTCAACGGTATATCATAATACGAAATGTAAACAGGCATATAAAAATGCTTGTTTTTGGCCCCTTTTTGGCCCCTAATTTCTAAACTGTTGGTACCATAACCCCCACAATCAATCCCAACCTTCCTTTTGTGGTATTGAACCTTCTTGTAAAATTATATACAGATCCATTCACTTAAACTAAAGTTATTGTCCAGAAACCAAATGTGTCTTTGGACAACAACGCAGACGACGACGACATCATAGCATTATACGAACCCCAAAAATGTTGTGGTCGTATAAAAAATAGCCAATCTCTGATACAAGTGTATATATTTATACATGAACAATGTAATTGTGTTTTAAATTTGCTCTACATTTGCTTGATTCTTGGAAAAACTGCACACTCGGACAAAGTGGGTTTGTGACTGAATTAAAGGATCTACGCCTCATTTTCACTCTGGATATTTAGTATTCATATTGTCATTTGACAAAGTCATGCTGATTGTAAGGCACACAGTTTTCTTTGCTTTAAAAATCTTTGTTTGAACCCGTCATGCTTTTCTTACTACAACCGGATACTTAAAATGTTACAACATGCTAAAGGAATTTGACTTTTTAAAAACATTTGATCAACAATGAGCAACAAGTGGTATGTAGTTTCCATAGGTACTTGGGGACAGGACAATTTTTTTTTAGCCCTCCCCTTTTTTCCAAAATCAGTGATTTTTTTGTTTTCCATTAATTTCAATTGTTTTTGCGTTTTACTGTATAATATGAACATAGATATACTAGAAATTACTTGTATTTGCTATTCACTATCGACAGCGGTTACTGATATATTATATAGAGAGAAGGTATCTCACTTCATACCTGATCATCTATTTTCTTACGTGAATTCTAGAAGGAATCCCAATTCTAAATTAATTCATTAAATATTTAATTTCCTCTGGGTCAGTGGGCATGACTCGTTTCCTCAAACATTTCTCTTTTTAATGTGCCAGCACTTATAATATAAATCGTCGTCTATCGACAGAACGGATCAATTTTGCTCGTCATGTT